GTTCACGTGCAAGGCCGAAGGTCCTGTGTCCGGATCCTGCTAGGTGCAGGAATCGTGTATGTGCACTGTTGATGAGCCCCATACCAGGATGAGACGGCCGTCTTTCAGTGCTTCCAGGTTTTTAGTGGTGGTCTAACAACGATCGATTCATGATTTCAAATGTGTAGTTGACTAGTGTCAAATAATAATACGAAAGATTGTTTTGTTGTGAAACCATTGTGACATTTTATTTCAATTAACTTAAAGTCAAGGTTAATAAAACCTGACAATGTTATTGTTTTTCGGTTAATGTGATAATACTTTTTCACTTAAATGCCTTGTAATTTATCAGAGTTAAATCAATTAAACTTATAATCAAGTGAAATAATTCATCTTTTTTTAAATGATCTATTCGTTTTATTTTACAAGTTCATTGATGTATCATTTTCTACTTCCCTAAATGCATTCATTTCATTTCCTAATACTGGTGATTATTACTTTAAATATAAAATAAATAATCAATGTCGTTATCCGTAGAAGATAGAAAAAAAATGCCAAGATGAATGTAACAGCAAAAAAAGAAGAACAATGAATTTTTGCTGAAAGTCACAAAATTCAACTCGATGATAATCTTCTGTGTCCGATTTCATTATTAATAAACTCCACCGGTAGACCATCCAGGGCTAGTCAATGGCCTGGGGAATATCCAGCTTACTTACTGCTTAGCATTTAGAATACTGCATAGAAGGAGATAGAAAAGATATAGATTGCTACAGATAAGCCTAATTACCACCGACAGCATCGGAAGTAGTGAAAAGACTGGTGAATGAAAAAATGAGGGAAAACATGAATAAGAATATCATCGTTCATGAAGCCGAACATTACCTAGGAAAGTCAGATGGTGCATGTTCAATGTCCTCATAGCATGAGAAATTTTGAGAATCTATTTGGACAAAAATTAGTCCACGTAATATACCTTGACTTGGCAAAAGCTTTCGATACAGTACCTCATGTACTCCAAAGTGCGATGGTTTCAAAGATGAACTTTACTGATTTGCTGCTATCTTTGTTCAGAAAATTCACTGATAACAGGAATATTAGTACCCACACAAATAGAGTGCACGCGAGATGGCGACTTTTGAGAACAGAGGAGTTCCACTCCTCTTTCTGAAATTTAATAATGACTTCTTAGACAACGTTAACTCAGTGGTAACTGCCTGTAGACCCTTTGGGGTCACTGCCGGTCCCAAACTCGGATAAAGGAAGATGGTTGGGATTGAGGTTGGCGATCAGATCCCGCAAAAAAACTAACTCGCTAAAGACCTCTAACAAGAAAAAATCATTCAAACCATTTAAACTCTGTTCTGGGAGTTGGAAGGTCTTCATTTAGAAGAATTATGATATCTCATGATGAAAGCCTAATTCCTTCAGAAGTCACGAGGCCGATGCCCATTCTGACAACCAGAGTGCTCCCATGGTCTGGGAAGCCAGGAAGTAACATCCGCCCTCATACCCATAAAAGCACACCAATACCTAATATATTAACGAATAAAATATTAATTTAATAAGTTAAAGGAAAAAAGTAACAACTAACTGGAATTCAACTCAAAAATTCGAGGATTCAAACATTCTATAATTTCAAATGCTAATATCAGGGTCAGTAAGTCAGCTACAACGTAGGAATTTGAACGTACATACATCAGTTCAAGATGCCATACGATATTAGCGCGCAGAGATCAAATAGGCAATTCAAATCCTATAGTTTTAGATGTAGTAAAAGTAGTAGCAGTAATCAAAAAGATTAGTGATTAAAGATATCATTCGAGTAGTATATCCCGGAGGAATCGATTTTCAAAAAAAAAAAGCAGTGAGGGGAAAAAAAAGGTCATGAGGAATTCAGAAGATTATAGTTTGTGAGAAGACAAATAATGGCAGCATTTGTGCCATCACAAACGATTTTAAGTAATATTAATTTGTTAGAGAGAAAAAAAAAGAGGAGTTTATCATTCGAAATTTTATTGTTTTATTGAATTGTATTTGTCAGTCATGTTTAACTTCAATTTTTATGAGTTGTTGAAAAAATACTTCAATCAGAACTGGCATAAACTTCAATCGTAATCAACAACAACCTATCGAAATAGATAGTTTAGTCTCAATGAACATGAAAACACACAAAAATTCAATAATCTTTCATTCAACTTTTTCTGTGTATACGTGGATTCGTAATGTTAATAGGAGATGAAACGATTTTACGTTACTTTAAATAATATCTATAATTTACAAAACTACACTAACATGGATAATACCTATGACGTCATACATAGGAAAAGAAATAATAGTCCCGTTTCCACCGATTCATCGTTCTCAACTCAGTTCATCTCAACTCTCAATCAATTAATCATAAATAACGAGAAATTTGACGTATATCTCTTGTACACACTAGTTGAAGTTCTCACATCAAGTTGCTACAGTAAGAAATAATAGTAATTATTATTATTATTATTATTATTATTATTATTTTCCAATGGGAACGATTCGTTGTTCAATGTAGAGAAAATATAATTCAAGGTGTAAGTATGAGTTAACAACTGGCAAAAATAAAACCAAAAACAATTATATTTATTCATTTTAATTCCTTTTTTTTATAAAAAAACAAACAATTTTATTTTCTTACCAACTTGCATTAAATAATAATAATAATAATAATAATAATAATAATTAAAATAATAGTAATAAAACCAATAATGTGAAAATAATGTTTTAAAAAAACAATGGAGAGAAAGAAAAAAACAATCAACAAACACGTACACACATACACACACACACACTTAAAATGTTCATCAATGTGGGATAAATGTAATGAGGGAGAAAATAACAGAAAAAAAAAATAAACCAACAAATGAATTCACTAATTCACTAAATTGTTTTACGCATCAATTATCCTAACAATAATACTTACTAATACTAATATCAATAATGAGAATGTAGATAAAATAAAAAGCATTTGAAATCATGAATCTATCAGTATTAGACCACCATTAGAAACCTGGAAGCACTGAAAGACGGTCGTTTCGTCCTGGTATAGGACTCATCAGCAGTGCGCATCCACGACTCCTGAACATAGCAGGATTTGAACGCAGTACGTTCGGTCTTGTGTGTGAACATCTAGCCTCTGGACCACTGAGTCGGTATCTAACGGCCGTCCAGCGCTTCCAGGTTTTTAATGGTGGTCTAACATTGATCGATTCATGATTTCGAATGTGTAACTTAACAATCTTCACCACTCCATAATGCATTTAATTTTCAAAAAAAAAAGCAGTGAGGGGAAAAAAAAGGTCATGAGGAATTCAGAAGATTATAGTTTGTGAGAAGACAAATAATGGCAGCATTTGTGCCATCACAAACGATTTTAAGTAATATTAATTTGTTAGAGAGAAAAAAAAAGAGGATTTTATCATTGGAAATTTTATTGTTTTATTGAATTGTATTTTTCAGTCATGTTTAACTTCAATTTTTATGAGTTGTTGAAAAAAAACTTCAATCAGAACTGATATAAACTTCAATCGAAATCAAGAACAACCTATTGAAATAGATAGTTTAGTCTCAATGAACATGAAAACACACAAAAATTCAATAATCTTTCATTCAACTTTTTCTGTGTATACGTGGATTGTAATGTTAATAGGAGATGAAACGATTTTAAGCTACTTTAAATAATATCTACAATTTACAAAACTACACTAACATGGATAATACCTATGACGTCATACATATGAAAAAATAATAGTCCCGTTTCTACCGATTCATCGTTCTCAACTCAGTTCATCTCAACTCTCAATCAATTAATCATAAATAACGAGAAATTTGACGTATATCTCTTGTACACACTAGTTGAAGTTCTCACATCAAGTTGCTACAGTAAGAAATAATAGTAATTATTATTATTATTATTATTATTATTATTATTTTCCAATGGGAACGATTCGTTGTTCAATGTAGAGAAAATATAATTCAAGGTGTAAGTATGAGTTAACAACTGGCAAAAATAAAACCAAAAACAATTATATTTATTCATTTTAATTCCTTTTTTTTATAAAAAAACAAACAATTTTATTTTCTTACCAACTTGCATTAAATAATAATAATAATAATAATAATAATAATAATAATTAAAATAATAGTAATAAAACCAATAATGTGAAAATAATGTTTTAAAAAAACAATGGAGAGAAAGAAAAAAACAATCAACAAACACGTACACACATACACACACACACACTTAAAATGTTCATCAATGTGGGATAAATGTAATGAGGGAGAAAATAACAGAAAAAAAAATAAACCAACAAATGAATTCACTAATTCACTAAATTGTTTTACGCATCAATTATCCTAACAATAATACTTACTAATACTAATATCAATAATGAGAATGTAGATAAAATAAAAAGCATTTGAAATCATGAATCTATCAGTATTAGACCACCATTAGAAACCTGGAAGCACTGAAAGACGGTCGTTTCGTCCTGGTATAGGACTCATCAGCAGTGCGCATCCACGACTCCTGAACATAGCAGGATTTGAACGCAGTACGTTCGGTCTTGTGTGTGAACATCTAGCCTCTGGACCACTGAGTCGGTATCTAACGGCCGTCCAGCGCTTCCAGGTTTTTAATGGTGGTCTAACATTGATCGATTCATGATTTCGAATGTGTAACTTAACAATCTTCACCACTCCATAATGCATTTACAATAATGGAGGTCAAACATTCGAATACTAATGAGCGTCTTTGGTATATGCATGAGCTCAGCCTTGGACTTCATAAAAGTTCATGCTAATGACCTCATTCCACATCGGATCCAACAGCCCGTGTAATTACCGAGGTTAATATATATATATATATATATATATATATATATATATATATATATATATATATATATATATATATATATATATATATACTATGTAAAAATATTAAGCAACTATAACGGTTCAATAAAACAATAACACCAACTTACTTATTCATTGATCTTTTTGTACTAGAACGTTCTTTTGCATGACTTGTATTCAACTTATCCGTAATCATTGTATGATTGCGTAACATGGAAACAGCATCTTTCTCTTGTCGTTTTTGTAAAACTTCTAATTCTTTAGCTTGTTTTTTAATTAATTTTTGATAGATTTTATCAGTTTGTAATAAACTAATCGAGATCGGATCAAATTTAGGATCATCTGTATACGCATACAGATTAGACATGAAAAGACAAAATTAAAAAAAAAAAGGACATGAATCATGACTAGTAGATGATAATACAAGAGAATAATGATATTATTTTATTAGTAAACTATAATTAATGTAATTATTCAACAACAACAAAAAAACTAAACTGACGAATTACTTTGAATGCCGTTCATTATTTATTATTAATTATTATCATCATCAAAATAGATTACAGAAATTAATTGGGCTTAGCTAGTTAGTTCCACTGTAGTACATGATTAATTGCATTCCCCTAAGCAATTACGTACATATGTTTTTTTTCTGGCCATGATATTCTAATTAAGCATTTACATAACTATGACAATATACAGTTTTAATGTGTGTACACACACAGTAGTATTAATGTATCATGTCTAGATATTTAGCATGTAAAAATAAATGAATTAAATATTACCGTTATTATTATCAATATTATGAACGTAAGGAAATAGTGGTGACATATTACATGTTACAGTTATATAGTAAGTATGGCACGACAATTATCAATGATCAATGATATTCAAAGTGTTACTCAACTGAAGCAGACTGTGTTTTTTTTCGTTTTGTGATACTGATAAGTATTGATAAATATTTATCATTGAATCTATGGATAATAATTTAAATACCGGAAATGTTTATTTTTTTTTGAAAAAAATTAACAAATTGTTGACAATTTGTTAAAACAAAACTGAGATGATCAGTTAAATGATCAAGTGTATCGATAGTAAAATCTTTCAGGTCGTACGACCTAATTCAAAACTGCATGATATTGACTAATTGTTCAGTTGTAATTTAGGCATTTTCTTTGAATGATAAATAATTGGTACCTCGTTTATATATATAGTGAAAAATCGTTTTTAACAATTGATGGGATGTGACCAGTAGTGGAATTCAGTGCACAAATTTCATCTTATGTGGGATTCATCAGTTGGACATACTTGCACCTCGGAGTGGATGAATTCTACTACTGGTCACATTCCAACTATTTCATATCACCTTATTTATAATCCACTCTGAATGCTTCAACTTATCATTATTTCAATAAGACAACTTATCAACCAGGACTCAGAAAAAAATCAATCAGGCTTTTGATGAATTGATACTGCAACATGCATTGACAACCATCTCTAGCTTTCTTTGTACATTCAAACTACGATTCCAGTCATTAATGTATATTATTGTTGTAATGTTAGGAAATAAATAGTATTGTTGATGCAATTCAACTTATATAACCGCTACTTCATTACCATTTTTCTTTTCAAACATAAGTATAATTGAAACAATGTTTATCATCATTATACAATTAGGTAAGTGTATAAAGAGATAAGTGTTACATAAATCGAAATCTGAAATTATTATGCATTATGATACTACAGTTTCACAGGTTTGCATACACGTAAAAAGTGAACGACAACTAACAAGAGTACAAAGGAAACAATTCAATGTTTGTGTGCAGTAAATGTTTTCTATATATTCATAACATTTAATTATATCTATGATCAAATATTTACTTCAATTAGGAATTTTCCGAAAAAAAGGAAAACAACCTCTGAAGAATCAATCAGTGTGTATATAAATTTTTTTTTAAAAAAAAACAGAAGGTAAAGACAGAGCCCATGGTGCCTATTGTATCACTAGTTTCGTGAGACGGTCGATATCCAACGTATTCCTTAGACTTTGTACGCTGCTCGTCCAGACAATCGTTACAACATAGGGCTTGACAACTTATAAATTAGAAAGCGAATACAAAGTGTTGAACACGTTTATACTTTGGCAAACCACAAAAGGGATCAGCAGACCAAAAGCACACAGAGAAGAGGCTAGCACACGTTAGCGAGTAAGCGAATTGGTGAATGAATTAGTCAAATTAAAATATATATATATATATATATATATATATATATATATGTATATATAAAACTGTAAATTTCAATGACCTTTCTTTTCATCTTTTTTAATACTATTCGATGAAGCATTTGACATATCACCAGAGATTCCTGATAAACTGGACATAGCTGAACCACTTAATTGTCCAGAAGTACCACCACCAAAACCACTACTACTAGCACCAAGACCGCCACCAACACCACCACCGCCACCGCTACTACCAACTCCAGTACGTTTGGCATTGCCACCGCCAGTTGATGGGACATCAGCGATTTCTGACGAGTCGATACCCATACTGGCAAGCTAAAAAATAAATCATATATACATACATACTTATGTATAGTTGAAATTGAGTCAATGGATAAAAACACAAAACCTAATCCAAAGTAAAAACAATACAATATAAGTAAACGAGAATACATTACAATCCGATAGATGTATATGAATTTTAAATTAAGCATTTATTTTACTACTGTTGAAGTTTAATTACAATTAAAGCGACTTTATATATAGAGCATAGATCGAGAATTACTGACGTAAAATACATACAGATATGAAAATATTTCAGAAATTATGAAATTGTAGAGAATGTTGAATTTTTTATCAAAATCATGAACCGATCTAAGTTAGTCAATCACTGAAAACCTGAAAGCATTGGACGGGCATCTTGACATAATATGCAACCTCTCAACAGTGCGTATACGTGACTGCGCGCGTGTGAAAAAAAAGAGAGTCGCCTAGTGTTTCCAAATATTTGATGATCATTTAACTTAAATTAGTTCAGAGATTTCAATGAAATATGAAGTGTATGCTGCACGTCAGTTCGTTTTTGCGAAGATATGTTGACTGATAAACAATGTGACTCTTTTTTTATCCTTACTTTTAATTGAAGATATTGTTTTGTACAACAGGACATTGGTTAGATGTTTTGCTTTATTTAAAAAAAAACACAACATGATATGATATGGCTAGTCAGAAACGTTTGCTTTCATGATATAATAAGAGCAATAAAAATGTATTCCTTTACTGATAACTTGCTGTGTTAGAGGGATTCAATTCTGAGAGAAACAAAGACATGAATAGTTAGTTCTTTAAGATTGTACATTTAGGAAAGCAAGCAGATAATTTAAATGTAATAGTTGACCTCGTCAATCAACACTGAATTTACAATATCACATACGTAGCAGTTGTGTTTTTTTGCATATTTTGAAAAAAAAGCCTACAAATCATCACAAATATTGATTGCCTTTTTTTTCACTAATATATTTGATAAATGATATCGGCAGCAGCATCAATGAAATGCACTAATAATCTACATTGCAAGTAATTAGTAAACGAGGCTATTTACGATTAAAGATGGTTTTAAGATACTTGGAGAAATTTACTAAACATCTTATAAATATTCAACGAAAAAGACTGTATAATGTATAACTGAGTTTCAAGATCCAATTCATAAAATGAAACAATGGATAACCGAAATACACATAGCTATGTATATTAAAGATTCCCATTGTGAAAATTAGAACAACACATATAAGCGAACAATATTGTGTATATATGCACACTTCTTATTCCGTAATGGTTTTAATGTTTTGTAATGATTATTTTAAGTCTATTTATCCACGTTTGACCTACTATTGACAAAATACTTTTGTTATCGTATTTTATATTTCTTACTACTATCGGTACACCTGTCTTCCTACTATCAACTTGTACTTTTGCCTATTATGTGTGTAGTGACGTAATCTATTTCATTTCATTGTGATTATCGACTCAAATTGCCTTGATTGGTTTAACAGTTTCGTCATAAATATTCATGTATATTAGAGTAAAGCCTGATGACGATCTAATCGAAAACAATATTGTTCGCTTATATGTGTTGTTCTAGCATAGCTATGTGTTTTCTGAATGAATATATATTTAAGGCACTGTACTGGTGAAATATATTTCTCTTCGGAATAGATTGAGACTCATTCAAATCCAATCTATATACAGAGAATTATATCTCATCGCGTTCAGTATTCAATACTCTTAACTGTGTCATACAAAAGTTAGTTCACATCATCTAAAGAATCAGTATAAATATATAGATATGATAGGAAGTTATTTCATCCTAGCTTAGGATTTAGTCTAGCAGTATCCAATAACTACTTTTCTACAAAATTGAGCTCAAAACTTTTGAAGCATAATAATGGTCCATATCGATAATTTTGTAGTCAATTTCCGATACTAAAAGTCGACTATTTGCTATCACAAATGCCATGTCTCATTTATGAAATGATGATTTTATTCATCCGATTCTCATTGATTCTCGCTTAGAATAACTTTCGGAATCTGTCAAGAAATAACAATCTTCTGTAAACAACAAAGTTAGCACAAACAGATAAACAGCTTTCATAGAACATATCCTATGAATCTTAAAAAAAACAGTTCATAATTTAGTTGTTATATTAGTTAAGATTGAAGTGAAGTATGCAAAAATGAAACTTGAAATTAATTAGTAATTTGAACAAAGTAACCAAAAAAGAAAGGCAAATGCACTACGAAGCGTCGAATAATGTCAACAAACTTACTTGTTTCATCCGTTGTTCTTCTTTACTTAAAAATGCACGAGGATCTGACAAGGCGTCGACTAAATCATTCAATCCTTCTGGAACATATGTGGTTAGCGATACTTGACAAAATAGAGTTGGTAATGAAAGTGGAAAATTGCCTTCAGTACGTAAAGAGATATGACGATAACCAGCTTGTAAACCATCCAATGGTAGAACACGTTGACCTATTAATTTGCCTGTATCTTCATACACTGCAAATCGTAATACAGCAAGATCTGGAAGTACAACCTAAATCAACAAGAAAAAAAAGAGTTTGAATAAAAAATAATTCAGTTAAGCGTAACTTATAGTGTACATGAATTTTCGAAGTAGCAAACCAGTTTGACATAAATTACTTAAGCATACACATTGCTATTCAACAAGCTTATTAGTAATGGGTTAGATGTTCTAACACGCTGAGTACGACATAAAAAACTACTGCCTTTTTATATGATTTATCAATAATTCGAAACGAAACATAATTTTCGTAAAGAAACGTCATTAGTTGCAGAACAATGAAAAACTAGAGAAAACTTTAAATATCTCTCTCAGTCAGTACAGTGAATTTCTGATTTTGTTCAAAATTGAACACAACACTATTAGGTCTTAAAACAAACACAATACCTATGTATCAACTAGTCAGGATGCTATGATCTATAATTCATGTTCGGATCAACAGATGATATAACCACTACACATATTTGATTTCATCAATGAATGTTCATTGGAGATTCCAAATCCGATGGCTCTATGATAAGTGTCTATCGCTGCTAAGACACTTGCGACAACAAAGTATCGATTCAAACTTGATATAAACTTTAGATAGATAATGTTTCACGGCTATCATTAATACCGAGATTAGGTTTAACAGGTAGATAAATAGTTCATCCGCCTCATATGTCCACGTAGTGGGTGTCGTTTGTGGTACGCACAAATAGGTGCTAAACATTTGTGTTGATTCTCTAATGATCAAAATCACTATTGATTGTATGTTATCAAGTACTAAACAATTTTATCTACATGTTTATTGTATTGTACAGTGAATAGTAGACTGATAAAAGCCTAGTAGAAATTAAAAACAATAATTTTATAGATAGATTTACAAAAACTGAGACAAGAAATCCGATTTTAAAGTGTATTTTCACCCATCTTTTATATAGTGAAATTAAGAGTGTTTCAATGCTTTGTCTGACTGGTCTAGTTAGTTAGTAAATAAGCAATGTAGGATATCGCAAAAATATGCATCGACTCAAGTACCCATACTACACAAGAACAGAGAACAGAATTATGGGTTGATCACTCATTGCTTTCTTTTATCTTTTCTACCTCTTCTCAGATTTTATATCGGGAGTGATGGTGATGTAGTATACTGATGTAATATTTCGCTTGCTTCGCTGCATACTACTTATAAGTCATCTTGTAAGTAGAATTCACCCCACTGGTACATTAGAACACGTATTACACGTCTAACCCAATCTAATCCAAGTTTGCTCAAGGAAATAAAGGATAAATAACAACTACACAGTGAATAACCACCGTTTCATCAGTTTCGTGTGCTAAATTTAGCTGGAAGTATGCATATAAATCATTTATGGTAGAATGTACTCATAGACTGAAGTGCTGGATTATACGTATGTACTTTTTAATTAAAGTTTAAGTACTTAAATAAGGATTATTTCAAGTATCGTTATGTTAAGTGATTATGACTGAAGAAAAAATGGATACATTCAATAGGACAGTAATGATGTAATCTGGAAAGAATCAACAAATTTGTCAAACTCTCATGTAAATTTCGTTTACAAATAATAAGAAACTACTTAATCGAAATAATCTCAGATAATAGTAAGATTAATTTTTGTCTTTAATACATTAAACATGATTTTCCATAAAGGATTGTGAAGATTACTGTGTTTCATTGAAATCATAAACCGGTCCTAGTTAGACAACCATTGGAAACCTGAAATCACTGGACAGTTGTATCGTGAATTTATTGCAGTTAGACTTGTGCCGCTGGATCTGGGTTGTAGTTCTAATTTCAAGTGTTCGCGAGACCGAAGGTCTTCATTATGATTCAACGTTGTGAGGTCACGGAAAATAACTGTCGAAGTCACAATGTTGTCAAGTTTTCATGAAATAGTTGTCAAACTTAGAACGGTTTTCGATCTCGATTAACCATTATTTAGGTTAAATTGAAAAGAAAATATTTGAATAAAAAATTGAGCTATAGAAGTTCGAATAGCTAAATATTCCGTATTAAAGAAAACAACAGTCTCATATGAGCAATATTTTTAATCAAAAGTAGCATTATAATAATAAAACTCACTTTTCTAAATACAAAAACAGCATCATCTCCATACACTGGATTTAATCCATTATTAGGAACAACTCGAGTACGAAATTCTTTACGAATTGTATCTGTTGGCAAGCCATACATATCTACTTCAACATAAGTACCAACTTTACGATCGGATAAAAATTGTCCAGATATAATTTTCACTTCACATGTCGCTGCAATAACACCATCCATTGGTGATTCGGAGAATGGATCAAACTGACGCTCTGGACGTCGCATGAATTCTGGTTTCAATAAATAGCTAAAATTGAATGTATTGGATGATTTTACTTAGTAATAACGAATTATATAATATAATGGTATTTTAAGTTATCACAAATTGATCAGGACAGTTGAACATAAAAATTTTTGGCTTCACAAGATTTAGTCAACAATTATGTTACTTATTGGTAGTAAACTTGAGTATACATTAATCAGGAGAAATCAAGGTTATTGATATTTTAGAATTTTCGTAGGTTTTATTACGGACATCGACAACAAGGAAGCACTGAACAGATGCTGTGTTTCAGTACGGTACTTCTCAGAAGTTTGTATTCACAAATCTACTAAAGATGGAACTCAAGACAATAGGTCCCACAAGTAAGTGATTAACCTGGCTATTGATCTGGTATCCAATGATCTACATGCCTAGCTTCAGTCAAATCGCAATACTGTGCGACTGCCTCTCGTCACCCTCAAAGAATAAGTTTTACACACGACGTGGATGAGGATTTTGTAATCTCCACTATGTTGTTAATAATCATACGTTCATTAATGACTAACTTCATGATGCGAATTTCCAGATTTTTAGTGAGCTGTAACTAGGGGACTCTAATTACATGGATTACGAAACAGTTGTCAGTCGCAAACAATCGAAGATCATCATGCTGTATAGCAGGTAAGTCAATCAAAGTTAGCTTTGTAAACCACTCAATGCTGATTAAAGGGTCTAGAGATTGAGTGATTTTTTCTGAAACTTAGAGATCCTAGGTTTAACTACAAATGGAATCTTGAATGTGAACAGATGTAAAGTCTCAAAATAGGAAATTCTAGTTGTCAGTGACGATTCTGATAAGACCAATTTGTCACGTGTTGGGGATGTAAGATCCTCAGAACTAACTTGGAAAAGGTACTCATTTTGTAATTTATTTCTGAAATTTTGAATTTTTCATGTTTTCGCGCCAAAAACGCTTATTTCACCTTCAGCTTATATTTCCCACTCGGAAAATCCTTGATTGTCATTGGTCGATGGATTATTTTAGTAGGCTATTTTGTGGCTCTCCCAAGGACGTTTCTATCATGTATCAATAAACACGATTTGTGTGCTTGTGCACCTCATATTTTCTCGGTGCTTTTAGAATACACTTTCTGCGTCCTGTCAAGACGTCTTCCTCTACTACTTAGTGGGGTATTCGGACGCTCGTAATAGAGTAGCCTATCGTGTCACTGGATCATTTGTCTTCGCTCTCGTTTATCGAGTAAGGTGAACTCACAACAGCGTCAATCATGTCATCGCGGAAACTTATAATTATTTATTTGTTCTTCAACTATCAATTTGTTGAAAATGTTACAATGGAATAATATCCTGTGGATTATGATGATGATGATAAAGTAGTATTAGTTGCCTAACAAACATCCGGTGATTTATATCCGTGAAATGTTCAGTTCATATGATAATATTAATGTGAACAAAATATAACTTCATTATTATCATTCATGTGTTATCCAAATTGTTACTAACATAGAACATTAATTTCACTAGACCATTCATAATGGATTCATTTCTAATACTAAACATATTAGGCTAATAAGATATAATAATAAAAATTAAAAAAATAAATAAATCTGATCATCTAACTCATTTATCAAGTACAAGCTAGGGCATTCAGAGCTTTCAGTTACATTATATGCAAGTTAATTAAACTCAATGAGTCGTAAGTAAAACGTAAGTAGAACTTGTGATTATATGTATATTCCTGGGATAAATAAATCCCTGAATAATGAAAATAATAACATTATCAGTGGAAATAAAAAGGATTACATATGAAAGCGAAGACAAAGAGTGAATTAGTTTGACTAGTGGGATACAACACCTACAACCCCACTGATGGCAATAATTGAATGACCTTCAAACCAGTAGTTTCCATCTATCAAAACAACTTGGGTCAATAAGTCAATGATATCATGAACTGATGAACAAATAGAACGTCTACAACGAAATAGATGGAATAGAGATAAAATCTACGTAAAAATCCTAATTCCTTCGGAAACAAGAAAACTAGCCGCATACCGGTGTAAAAATAGTCCTGAAATAAGATTATCTATTAATTTTAAACAAACAAACACAATGTTTTGTTTCAAAATTGTCACAGAAACTAGTTTCATTTTTTAATTATAAAAAAAATGAATGATTTATTTATTTAAATTTAAAATATACAACTACTGAAAGCATTATCAAATAGTCTCAACAACTGATTACACTATTTAGAAACTTATTTCAAATCAATACGGATTCATTTGTTATTATTATCATTATTAGTACTGCGTTACGGGGTTGTGAAGATTGTTAGGTTATACATTTGAAGTCATGAATCGACAAATGTTATACGACCATTAGAAACCAGGAAGCACTGGACGGCCGTTTTGTTCTCGTATAGGACTCATCAGCAGTGAGCATCCACGACTCCTGCACCCCACAGGATTCGGACCGAGGACCTTCGGTCTAACCCAGGGACCACTGAGCCGGTATCTAACTGTGTCAATGTATAATTCGATCAATTCACGGATTTGCGCAACCTCATACACAGTCTTCGGTAGTTACTGTGTACACCCGAACAGGTTGAACTTCAGTGGTCACGACGTCCCCCACTAGAACTCAGAGAAAATCGCTCACGAAGCTAGTCACTAGTGAGTACAGGTAATTGCATTTCGGGGTTGTGAAGATTGTTAAGTTAGGCATTTGAAGTCATGAATCGATCAATGTTAGACGAAACGGCCGTCCAGTGCTTCCAGGTTTCTAATGGTGGTCTAACATTGATCGATTCATGACTTCAAATTATTATTATTATTATTATTATTGTCATTATTATTATTATGTAAAAGTAGGAAGTAGGCGTTCTAAATAATATTATTTTTTTAAAAATATATATACACATGTGAATGGTTGAAAGTTAATAAAGGCAGCAGCAGTGATAAAACATTTTGTTAATTCAATGATCAAAAACAATTTTTTTTTTTTGAAATTCCATTTAATACATGAAATTTTTTATAACATAGGAATTCAATTAGTTTTCTATTTTTTTTTCTAGTTAATTTAATCAAATAATTAGAAAATAATCTATTCAATTAATATGGTAAGTTTTTGTGTTTTAATAAGTCACAAGTGAATAATATTTTTAATAGGAAATAAAAGCGCATAAAATTATACACACAATCATAGGAAAAACGGTACACATGGAAAGTTGTTACGATTGCATGTAAACATGTAAATTTAACAGGCTTGAACTACCTTAGTCGGAAAACGAGAGCGAGGATCGAGGATTCGGCAACAAGACAGGCTACGCTAATCCGATTGTCTCAAGCCCCCATTGAGTAAAAGAAGAAGACTTGATATGAAGTAGAACCTGTATTCTACAAACATCCAGACAGTACGAGTTTCAAGTCCAGAAGAGAATTAGGATCCCGGACTAGGGATCCGGGTTCTGGTCATAGAACGTTACAGATAATGCGTATTTATATAGTTAGGTAGAATAGGAAACAACATTGAAATCTGTGAGATTGATAGCTAGGACGACCATAGTAGGAATTGACTTACAATTCTCTTAGGATACTTGATGAATATCCTAACAAAGGTAGATTTCGATTTTTAATTTATTAATTTGAAATAACATGTATGTCGAGTGATTATTCATTGCAGTACAATAGATTCGTGGTAGTTATGACCAATATAATTCAAACAGTTCATGGTTCAGTAAATGTTTAGCATAAAAATATAACGAATCTTTATCTCACTATATTGGAACAAAAACAAAGTGATTATGAATAATAACAATGAAGTCTACTATTGTATGATGTGAGCACTAGTCTATAGAGTAAGAATTTGAAAACAGAATGGATAGTTTCTTTGTAATTTAGTCGAATACATTTACACCTCTTATTGGATCATAATTTTTTGTTTTACAAATTTAACAAAATCTGCACAACATTTCACTACAGTCAGTCAGTTACAACATTAACAGAGAGATGCAACTGTCAATTCAAATCCCACAGTGGTAGAGATAAGCAAGCCTCCTGGTAGAAGGTTCACTCCTTAAAATTCAGACACAGATAATGTTAATTTTAAAAGCCTTTCTACGACCAAGTTAAACAGGAATGGAAAGAAACATTTCACTACACTAATTGTTCATACAAATGTATGGATTTTAAATAAACAAAATGTAAATAACCATGATTTTTAATCATAGAAAGTAACAATTGTTTGGACTTCATGAGCGTTCTTCGACAATAATTTCAAACAACAAGTAAAGACTGTTAACATTTCACTCAAACAGCTTACTCGAAATTAAACTTCTAAGAAATCGACAGATTATGTTGTTATTGTTATTTCATCTAGCATGTTTCCAAAAGTTTCCAAAGTTTGTATTCTATCAATAAAACCGTAACTAATATTGTTCTATAAAACATAAAGGAACCTTGAAGTAAAGTATCTTTTGTCACTTCACATTTTTCTGGTTTACCATTTCAAACTCTAGTCTAGTAGTATTCGGGGAAGATAGGCTGTGTCTAGAAAATCAGCAGGAAACATCCGATCACAAAACGATATTTTAACAATATACCTAATACGATGATAGAACTATAGGAAATCATTTAAACATATTTAAAAAGAAACTATACCATACTAAAAGTCATCAGATGTTATATATATATATATATATATCCTGGAGGTGTGGACTCACACTTAATCTCTATTATATCAAATCTTAAAGTATGATATCTGTTAAGATACTTAACTATCGAATAAAAAAACCTGCATTTTATCATGTATTCAGAAAAAAAAATGCCAACTACTACGTATGATAAATTTTCAACTAAAAAAATGATTTACTAATCTTTATTTTTCTGACCTTGTGAATATATTGGAAAATGTATTACTTGTGTTATCATCACAAACAGAAAAGAAAAAAATTAGATTATGCTTAGTTTCAATTGAAAACATAAACCATATGTTTGTATATAGTTTAATATTGACAATTATTTGTTGAACGTGATAGTTTTGTTCATTCGCCCAATACCAATAGAATTTTAATGAGAGAAATAAGTTCTTGTTTGCTTTCAATGTTTAATATCTTGTTTGGTTGTATTTTCAAGCTTATTTTAATAATTGGGAATTCAATATACACGTTTCATTTTTACAGCTTACTGTTAAAATCAACTCTTACAATTGGTATTTAGTACATAGCGGCTTTAATTATCAATTATCGCTTGAAACTAATATATATATATATATATATATATATATATATATATATATATATATTGGCTGGAACATATGTTCCTGAAGGTCCTACCAGGCCAGGCAGGTCGACCGGATAACGATGGGACTAAAGGCAGCTACTCAAGGTCTGAGGGCGAAGTCGTACTGCTGACCGTAGAAGGGTGTGACAGCAGTAAGGTGTTTCACTCGGACAACCAGCATCTGAAGCGATGCTGCCTTCTCACAAGGAAGGAAGGGTTAGAAAAGGTCGACCCTAAAAATGTCACACCTCACCCTACCTCACAGATTTCCATCTCCGGCAGTAAGGCCTTTGAAACAAGGGCGGAGCTAATACTTGAAATCCTTCTCATGAAAAGATCGTTCTTGACCGGCCTCAAGCAGTTGTCCCTTGGACTCTGCAGTCACGCTCCCAGGTCTCCAAGACCGACACTAATCTACCTTCCTTTTCAGGTTCCACAAGAAACACCCTTCCACGGTATGGTAAAATATATTTAAGTTGTAAATCAGTAAAAAAACAACACCATATTAATCGATAATAAGAACAGAAGAAACAATCCCTATAAAATAACTTACCCACAATTACCATTGTATTCAAATTTTCCTTGATTCAATTGCATAGCTAAATCAGGAGTTTGAAAGTTCAACGCGACCATTTGACAACCGGCATTCCAAAATATCTGTCATGATAATTGAAACACATGCATATACCAAATAACAATAAGTATTGTGTAATATTTTGGATAAATAAAAGTTACTAAATGAAATAGAATATTAGGGGGGGGGGGCAATGAAGAAAGAAAAAGATTAAGAATACTACGTGTTATTCTTGGCAACATGAGACTATAGAATGTTGGGAAAAATTGAGCGTGATATAAAAATCATAAAAGTAACAAACGTTTCAAAATCCTGGAAATCTGGTAGCTCGTTCCACAACTATTCTAAAAAAAAGTAAATTTTGTTGAAATACACAATTTTTAATCAAACCATGTGTGATCGGTCCTACCAGAGGTTTCTCTTGGCCAGCAAATCTCAGTGATGACATCCCATACTGTGAAGAAGCTGAGTGCTGAGTGTTCATCCACCCACCACAGAACATCAGTAATCTCAAGATATGCTTTGTTTACAAGTGCTAAACAGTACGAAATGTAAGTCCAGGGTTTTATGTAGACTCTCTTCAATCACTTAAACAACCATAAACCATGAGGGAGACAACACGCCAGTAAGTGCTAATTTCTGTTAAAGTACACTTATTAAAATTCGTTAATTATACATGATTCATCAGTTCAGTACATGGTTTAAAATAGACACTACGAGTTTGCTTTGGTATGGTTAAAATATGTTCAACAGATAACATTTTATGAGATTATTATAATCATAGTAACTTCGGTAGGATCATTGAATTAGTCTGAGTATATACGTATAATCACCAAAATCTTCATAACAACTGAATGTCATTCAAATCTTGGTTATTCACAAAATATGTCATTGTGTAAAGTAATATACTTATTTTCCTCGATCGACCGAGCATTCCTTATACTGCTATCGTATGCCATTTATCTTCAAATATAGTTGCTTTATCATTAAGTTCCTGTATTTTGAGAAGGACTATTAAAAGCATATGATTTATGCTAGCTTTCAGATAAACTTTAACAAATCAGATAGCATATGACCATTGTGTTATTGTTACCACACTAATAACTATTCTCTTCATAGGATATTTTGACCTTCAACATATATATACCTCTAATATTCATATCTTGTTAACTCTAAATTTATACATGTGAGCTTGCATGTATGCGAGTACGCTTACTGTTTTATCGAGTGTATATTTTTTTGATCAAATTTAAAGCTATAAAGTAACGGTTGTAATGAGTTGCATATTTCAGTAGGCTAAGAATCCTTTCTCCTTTGTCGCACTCTTTACCCTACTTTGTCTACGTAGACGAATATCTGAAATAAATCATCCTTATCAATTCGCAATCGGCTTCTATTACCGCCGTTGTTAAAGGGGATTATTATTATTATTATTATAGTATATGAAAATTATTGGTTTGTGGTTCGTTCATCAAGGAATTAGATCATTATGAACCGTGAAATCGATCCATGAGCTTATCCTATCACACATGACCATATGAAATTATAACACTTGTGTCTTATTTGTAGTTTAATGAGTAATTGATGAATAAATTACAAACAATAACTGTGTTATGTGCTCCAAATGAAGAATGAAGTAATGGTAAACTTAGAAAGCTAATCTATGGATTATTATTGTAAATAGTTTTATATTGTATAAATTAGTTACCAAGTAACTAGATTATCAGGTATATATACATATATCCTTCGTCAAACCATAAATTATTATTATCATATGGTTAACAATTCCTATAGTTCTATTAAACTAAGCTCTGAAAAGAATAATGTATTGTTGGTGAAGAAATTAGTAATAATAGTAATAATAAATCGTTTTTATAAGTGATCAGCATTTATAGATTTTGAGAGTGTTCTATTAGTTGAAACTCCGCCTTGAGCCCTGCTAAGGTTCCTGCTGATCCCAAGCTCAGATAAAGGAGGAGGGTTGAACAGATGGTTAGCGACCCCATCATTTAGAAAATCAACTCGCTAGAAAAACGCTAGCCAGAAAAGTGCTGATCAACAACCTATACTCTATTAAGAGTAACAGACGTAAGTATGTTCATTTGCTGAACTAAGTGGTTTGATGATGTAGATTTTGACGATTTTATCAACAAAAACACTAAAAACAAAATATGACAACAAAATCGCATGAAAACAATCAGTCACAAATTGATGTGATCCGTACAGAATGATTTACTACTACTGACAGAGTAATTCATAAAAGTGTTTGTTTCTACCCATCAAAGTAAAGTGACAATAAAAGCTGCATACAGTTCAATCATTGAACAACGACAACAAAAGTATCACATCAATAAACTGAATAGTCTTTTTGAAAGAAATGATAATATCAGAAAAAAATGTGAATCTCGTGTATTCCACAGCTCTCAAGTAGATTTTCCCAAAGAATTAAGACAAATATCGATGCACCCTATTTGCAGTATCACAGTGATCAATTAGTCAACATAGCCAATCACATATTTATTAAATTTTCAATGATGTCAGTTGTTAGGATATTCATCGAATATCCTAAAGAAATTATTTTGAGTCTGATCCTATTGGTCAATTCCTATTGATCAATATCTAAGGTCGTCCTAAACTATCAAGTTCAAAAACTTTAAAATGTTCTTTCCCATTAGTTAGTAAAAAATATCCATTGTCTGTAAAGTTCTATGCTCCTCTTCTTCTTCTGGACAAAACCTCGACTTTCTGGATGCTTGTAGAATACATCTTCTACGCCATATCAAGACTTTTTGATATCGTTAGTGGGGCCTTGGGACGCTCGAATTAGAGTAGCCTATCGTGTCACTGGAACATTATCTTCGCTCTCGTCTACCAACTAAGGTGAACTCGTAATAGTTCCAAGCATATCAATTGTCAAGCATAACATCAGTATACACATACATCAATGACATACATAGATACTAGAAGAAGGACACGAGTGAAGGAAGAAGGTTAGACAGATGGATGACTGTTTAAATCCAACGAGAGAGAGACAGAATAAGAGCGAATTAGGTTAACAACTGACAACGACCACCAACTAAACACTAATACCACCACCAACAAGAACAACAAGTGACCGTAGAAAGACTATTTAAAATGTTCCTTTCTAACTTTAATTCACTGAATAGATTATGTGAAAAAAAAATAATTAATGTGAAAGGTCATCATTTATGCAATAAGAAAAAAAGAAAAGAGAAAGAATTTAAAAACAAATAACAGCAGCATAAAATGAAAATTGTAAAAAAACGAAAAGAGAACCAGTTTGTTCATATTGATATTATTAGTATGATTATTTCTATTATTATTATTATTATTATTATTATTATTATTGATCAAAATTAAAAATCAAATTAACACTGGATAAGTAAAAACACGATTAAAAATTGATTATAATTGGAAAAGTTAAAGTGTTAAGTAAATAACTATACACTAATGAAAATTACGACTAGCTTAAAAAGAATTCCTAATTTATGTATAAATGTAATGTTCACGGGTAAAATAACCGAATATTGGTGTGATATCACACTGATAGATTTCAGCATTCTAATTTAGACAAGGTGGGATGTGGCTAGCAGTAGAATCCAGGATGCATGTCTGGTCCTATTGGGTACTCACTCGTCAACTGGTTACACTCGCGTCCAAGGATCGATGTTCACTCCGGAGCTCGGACCCATTATTGTTCGCTATAGTCTTATTCACCAAGGTACTGAGTTCTGATAGTCAATCACTAGTAAAAAGGGTTTTAATTCCATGCGACTTAAATATAATGAAAAACGTTAATTTAGAATAAAATTGCTATATTGAGACGATCAGCACAGGATGTATACACATAATTCAACTAAGACTAGTTCAATTTCAGTGAAAATATCAACAATGGGATAATGCCAATTATTTCATGCTAAATCTCATCATTCTGTAGCAAAGATGAACTAACCGCATGGAAATTAATCCAATTATCTTTTTTTTAAAACAGGTTCTCAAAACCTTATATCATATAATTAACTTGATCTGATTTACTTATATAAGAAACAAAGATAAAAATCAGTCAGATCAATTTATAAAATTCTTATCAGTGTCTATAAAATCAATGGCTATAAGAGCAATCATGTTGAGGAAAACCTCAGTTAATAAAACAGAATAGAATACAAGAGATGTTTGATTGACCAATGGAGTTCACCGCTGTCAGGTGTAAGCAGTAACTACCAGAAACAGTGGTGGGGGTTGCACAAAATCCCTAGATTTATCAGAGTTAGACATTTACACCATTGGGTTCCGGCTCAGTGGTCCAAAAGCTAAGCGTTCGCGGGCAAGACCGAAGGTTCTAGGTTCGATTTCCGCAAGTAGCGGGAGTCATGGATGCACATTGCTGATACGTTCCATACCAGGATGAAACGGAAATCCAATGCTTTCAGATTTCTAATAGTGGCTCAATAATGATTGATTCATGATTTCACTAATAAACAACAATCTCAATAACGTCATAATGGAAAAAAAACAACATTGTAATTATAGTAAAATCTATGATATTTTTATAATAATTAATTTAAAATTTTACTCACTTGTGGCATATAATTGCTCGAATCGACACGATTTCCTCTAGGATATATTCGACTCATTTGACGTTTATTATAACTGTTTATTTTCACATCACGATAATCATAGTTAAGGGGGGGTTGTAATTTATCGATTATTGGAGAGAAAAAAAACACTGGGTAATTATGGCAAAAAAGTAAAAAGACAAATGAACAGAAACACTTTACACAATTTTACATGCAATGCAAAAAACAGAAATGCCCAATTAACCACTAACAACATCAACATCAACCAAAATGACAATTTTTCGAAATAATTCTAAAAGTGCACATACAATATTATCGAAAAAATAACAAGAAAGAAACAAAAATAAAAAACAAAAAAAAGGGTACTTGACAAATGCAATACAATCTTTCTTGATCAGACCCAATGCGACACTTTCATTGAATGAAGACATTTGATGACTGATATTACCCACTGAATAAATGAGAAGAAAATAGAAACAGAAACAGAAAGCGAAAAACAAAACAAAACAAAAAACATAATAGGAACAACAAAACTACACAATTCTCACAAGAGACTGAAAGTACAATACACACAATTGGTAATAATGATGTAATACATGCTTGAGACACAACAACATAACGGGAAAACAAATAATCGTGACTCAATCTCTTCAATATAAACATACATACATACATATATTCATATATACATGCTTTACAAGTAAATAGGACAACATAATTCAGTATATACTGTATTCTTAAAACATATGAACATGTACTTCTCAAGTGAAATTTACCAATACGGAAAACTGTGGTGGTGTTTCGTTCTTTGACCTGAATGGTTTGGTTGTGGAGCTTTCATTGTTCTTCAGATGTGCTAATGATGTTGTTCAGAAGAAGAACAATCAAAGCTCCATAACCGAAACATCCAGCTAAAAGACAGAGACACCACAGCAATCATTCACCTGAGCTACAAAATTCTCTTCACCATCTCATAGCCAAAATTCAATGTTATATATTTATACATAATGATAACAGAAAAATGTCATCAGTTGGTAAGTTGACTAAATTATTATTTCCTGTCGATTTCATCTGACTTAAAAATAATCTTTTCACTGATCAATACTATTATGAATTATTCAAAAAATAAAAGAAGTAGATTTATGAATTCACTGAAAACCAGTGTAATATCAGTTAGTATTTATTTAATAGTTAGTTCTATTGAATACAATAAAAAAAACCGACTAATTATTTAATTATTTACATATGGATGGAATAATTTTATACCGATTCCATTTTTGTTTTAATGTTCACAAAAAAATGCGACAGCCAAATATAATTCAAATGATTATTGTAAAAAAAAACGATTTGTTGCATTCAAGATAAAATTTTAATAATAAATATCTTTTAGTAAAATGTTGTAATTCATAAGAATCATAATATCCAAAGATAATTCAAAGTGCCTACAAATAGTCAGTTATGATTATTTTAAATAGACTGAAATGAAACATGTTTTTAACCTAATTGGAACCGTTTCGTTCAGGTGCACATGGTTATTTCTTTGAGTAATCACTCATGTGATGTGTATTTTTAGTTTGTAATTTCAATCGATGGATTCTGTTGAGTAATTACAATGATTCACTATAAATAATATGCACGATGTTTATAGGATTTGAAATGATTCGAAGAAGGGAATCAAATCTCATTCTGAATGGATTGATCACTATGAAGAAAGTGGCACCTTCTATGGCGACTGAAACACAAGTTCTTTAGTTTCACAGTCACCAAAATCATAACTCGAGAATTTGAAAGGTGACAAATTATCAACTACTACTCTATAAAGCCTAGATTCACAACTTTATACCGATAGTTGCCAACTATCGAAATAATATTGGATTTATCTATTTTATTTTCAAAAATTTTGAAAGAGGGAAAAGACAGTTTTACTTGCTTAAACGTCGTTATAAAAATAACAAATTATTATTATGATCGTTCTCTTTAATAAAACTGAAATGGTATACATTTGTTTTACTGTGTGACATATGGCGAACTTCGCAATGACTACATAAGTTCTTGTAATGAATCTTTAGACAAACGCCTTAAATACATATTAAACTATATGAATTTAGCAGATGGATTCATTTAGTTGCCAGTTTTTTTTTATGAAATAATGCTATCACATATAATATTTCTTATTATTATATAACATCAAATGCGACAGTATATATTTATTTTATCTAAAATGTGAGCATTATACTCAGAGCAAAAAAAAAGACAACAAGGCTTCTCAAACGAAATGTCCCGATGAATGTTAGTCCGCACTAAGAGTTTACCTTGGTAGGATAAACAAACAGAACTATCTAACCACTACATGCTGGCCTGGAAAAAAAAACAATTTAATAAGCCTTCTTCAAAGTATAGACAAATAACATCTAGTTAGAAAGGGAATATAGTTGAAAACATTCCGATACTTAATAGACAACAGAATAACATGCATTTACTAAAATGGTTTATGATAGTCACAACGTATAGGCGTGCAAAAAAACATCAAAAAAAAAACACACTATATAAAGACACTGGAAAATACAGCATAAAACTGTATTCTAATCAAATGATGAATAAGGATACTTGACAAATTCTATCGCTTGATTCTTTAATAATCCCAATGCCACAGTTTCACTGAATGAAGACATATGATGATGAATATTTTCATCTAAACACGAGTAAGTGAAATTGAACAGGTATACATACAATTTATGTAACGAATAGGGAAAATAATGAAAGTGTACACTCAATCAGATTAGTCCGTCAAGGTTAAAAATAAAACTGAAATAAACATATTGATTATTGACAACTATCACGGAAAATTATTATTTTCGCATAATATGTTTGTGTAATTTAATTTATGTAAAAAAAAAGTAATTTTTGTAAAATAAAGTAGACGTTCACTAAACGATTAAATTAAGTGAATAATTAGCGTACACAATACGCTGAGAATTGCAGACAGACATGAGAAGAATGAACAACGATTGGAGATAACTAGAAAGGAACGCATAGAACAGAGTAGGTTGGAGAATGCTGATCAACGGCCAATCCTCCACTGGGTGAAACAAGATGATACTTTTAAGCATTTATCAATGATAAAATGAAATTGATTTCCATAAGTCACAATTCAATGTATCACAATAATCGTCTTATTGTGATTAAAAAGTGTCTTTTCTATTGAATTAAACATAGAGACTTCAGAGACAGAAACATATTGCTTGATATAGATGTACATTGGCCAGAATTGCCATATGTGTTTAACAAAACAAAAGGGATCAAAATAATGTAGTAGCAATAGAACAAAAAAGAGTAAGTCGCATCAATAGAGCATGGAAATAGAAGGGTATGTATGACAAGATACTAGAATTCAAGATTAATAGGAAGACAAGATAGTGAATGTATGTCGCCACTGACAACAATTCTGGATTATATCACCCTCGTTATTTTATATATTCATCCGAAATATTAAACACAAGCACTTCAGTTAAAATAACCTTGAAATGACAGATCAATTAAAACACGCACGCACACACAAACAAAAGGTAAGTAAACATTTGTGGATCTTTTAAAACATTAGGACTTGACATAATCTAAACATAAAAATATTTTTCCGGAAACTTTCTACTTTCTACAGAGGTATTAACTAATGCTAGACCATTAATGTGAATTAGCAAACAATGGATAGTTGTTTTGTACAAGTAAGATTAATTGGTGATACAAACCACAATAATTTTGACTAGTTCCACGGAACTGCCACACTAGTAATGATTTATTTTCCATTATAGATTTATGGAGATAGTTGTTTGTTATTTAGATCATAAATCAATCATTGTCTGATCACTCTATAATGAAAAATTGTAAAATGTGCTCACTAGTGACTAACTTTGTGAGGAAATTCTCGGAATTCTAGTGAAAAGATGTGACCAGTGGAGTTTAACCCTGTCAGATGTAGGCAGTAACTACCGAGTAAAATAGGTGAGGTTGTGCAAAACCTCAGAGTGATCAAAGTTAGACATTAATACCGTTATATGCCGGCTAAGTGGTGTAAAGTTAGGCGTTCGCCAGCAAGAACGAAGGTCTTGGGAGTGGAACGTGGATGAGCACTGCTGAAGGATCTCATACTAGAACTTGAAGGCCGTCCAGTGCTTTCCGGTTTCTAATGACTAACTAACGACGATTTATTCGTAATTTAATTATTAATTATTTATTTATAGAGTACGTTTCGTCACATTGACCAAGTGACACTGGTAGCTTTGATATCAAATGCAGAAATTCCTTTGCAAAGTTCTAATCACTTTTATAAGAACTTCCGTCTAAATTTGAACAAAATAGCTTCACAGTACTTTAGTGCTAAGTTCATGTAACACATGAAACATGGAAAATTATTTTTGTAAAGGTTCAACAATTCAAGTTGATTAAAATTTTCCTCGTTATGCCTTTTTTGGTCACATTTCTCTTTTCAATACATTTATATTTATGTTTCTTTTTTGTGAATGTCTCAATATTGACGACAAAATTTCCATAAAACTTTTATTTAATCATATCTTTTTTTTCGTTTTGTTTTGTTTTAATTTATTTCACAAAAAAAACTATTTTTCAAATTCCTTTAAAAACAAACAACGAACATTTACATTTTTCTTTTTTTTTGTTCTTTCAAATCATTTACAACTTTTCACATTAAAATTTATCATGTTTGTTTTTGCATAGGGAATATTTTTTTTTACAACAACATCTTCACCTACACACACACACACACAAAGATCATTTTAATAGATTGAAAAATAAAATAAATTCTATTATTTTCAATAATAAAAACTAAAAACTTAAAAAAAAGTAACAAATTTTGTTTGAAAAACAAATCTTAACAATAAACACAAAAAACTGTGACTCGATAAATAAATGGTCATAGTGAGGCAGAGAGAGAGAGAGAGCAGGAGGTAAGAAAGAATTTTTTTAGTTCTTCCTTCACATTGAACAATGGCAATGTAAGAATCGGGAAAGAAGAATTGTGCATTGTGTGTGAATGAATCAGAGCAAATCTTGTTGATTTGAATTCTTCATAAGACAAATAAAAAAAAAACATTTGATAGACAACGAACTCAAAGTAGAAGAAACTAATGAAAAAACAGTGTGTGGAAATTGATAATTATTTTTTTTTACTGTTTTTTTTGAGTTCGAAAATAAAAGTAACAATAATTTATGAATAATAATAAAAATAATAACATTTACAAATGATTTTATTTTGAAAACAAAATAAATAGAAGGAAGTTGAGATAAAAATGTTCGGATTCTCTCAGGGGATGTGTGTGTTATCAGAAGGAATGCGTTAAACTCTCTCTCTCTCTCTCTCCTATAACAATCAATCTATGACACTATTCACTGATAGTAACAATAATAATAATAATACGATTAAAGGAAAACTGACCAGTAGTTGTTACATACTGAGTAGATTTGACAAAACTGAGCAAGAGTTAAGCCTGATGCATTCAGGTTCTACTGCCCTCAGGAGTTAAGTGATTAATGAGTTACTGTCTATTTGTCCAATGATGTTGAATTATGTATAGTCTTGCGTTAACCATTTCATATAAAAGCTTAGCAGTTTATTAAAAGGGAAAAATCTTATTTTACTAGTTAGCTAACAAGCTTTCTTCCAGTATCAGTTGAATTGTAGGTTTAGATCAATAGTATATAGTCCCGTGTGACTAATAATTACTCGGGCTAGATCGTATACACCACAACTTATCGTGATTGATAGGCCCGAAAAATTGTAGTAATCGATGTTTAGAGACCCTGAATGACATGGATCAAAACCGTTTACAATGGCGCAGGTGCATTCACCCTTTGTGATCTCTCAAATCCTAACCTTTTGTATTCCTTATCAACTTTTTCTTTTTAAGTTTAGTTTACTAGATTATACTTCTTGAATAATATCGTCTAACCCAAATCTCTCCTATTACTGCTATTACTTCTACTATCGCTACCACTATGTGATTTGAAATGACAATGACATCTCTATGCTAATGTGATAAGGCAACTTGAACTGATGTACTTACGTACGAAGTTCTATGATGTTGTTGACTGACTGACTGAGCAAAATTTGGAATATCAGCAAAAGATAATGCATCAGTTTCAGTAGTATGTAAACCATTTTAAGATTGCGATTATTTTACATGACATACTTTTTTGGATCGATTGCTCACTGTGAACTATACTACTGAGAATAGATTATATTACTTAAATCAACTATCATTGTGAGATTTAACATGTGCAATCAAAGTCCTCGATACGACAGCATCAAATGATGAAGATATTCAATACGATGTCAGTTCGAATAGAGAGAAAGTTCACGTTTATTTAGTATCTAGACGAATAATCATTTCAAAACAAAATAAACGTTTCTTTCGGCACATATATCCTATTTAAAGCATATATTAATAAAATATCAAAGAAAATAATTGAGAAATTTTAAAGTACTTTGTAATCCCTTGAAAAAAAATTTAAACGCAAAGTTAATAACTGTCAATTATTATTTTCAGATAAGAAAAAAAGTGACAATTAACTATGATCAATAGAAAAAGATCAAAATATCATGATATATGAAGACCTATTGATTGGAACACCAAACATGTCTTAACTGTTGGATAGAGTTGTGCAATTAAGTAAAGACTACTAGACTTCAGTCAGATCAAACGTAGTAAGCAATGGTCAGCGATATTAGGTGACAAGGCTCAGAATTTGTAACAATAGCTTAGAAACATGCACTCTTTGTTTTCCTGTTAGATCATGGAGTTTTCGCCTAGGCTTATACCAACTATTTCACAAATTGATTTTTTCATCGTGAATTATACTATCTCGATACCTAATCATTTTGACCAGAATTGAAATTGTTACTATTTCTGCTAGATTGAATTCATTGTGTTACGTTAAATATGACTGTTTGACAACCGAATTCTACTGTTTGAATATTTATCTAAAAATCTTGAACAATGAAAAATTACACAATTACTACGAATAAAATCATCGTACATTAAACCGTCTAGTCTGTAGAAATAATGATGGCTACTCATTATAACTAGTACATTAAAAGGTTAATTTTCAAATTTATGATTTTACAATGTTATTTGTTAAACAGCTTTATATTACTTATTCAGAGTAAACAGGATAGGTAATTATATTTAAAAAAAAATAATTTTTCAAAGCACATAATATTTGGTAAACACTAGTTTGTTGGTCACAATAAAAATTAATTTCAAAGTTTTGTTGCAAAGAGAAAAGCTTCAAACTGTCAATGACCGAAAATATATCAGTAAAGAGTTTCATTGAAAATTGTGGAATTTTTAGAAGGAACTTCTTTAAAGCGCATATTAACGATGCCACCAGAAAGTGAACCCATGAGTTTCAGGTCTTAATGTTGAAAGACTAACCTCTTGAGCACTGATTTAGTACTCGATAATGTACAGATCTAATGTTTATCGATACAAAAAAATTGCAAGACCATCTTTAAATAGCTGCAGTGTTTACAGCTTTCTTAGTGTTTAGTGATTCAGAGATTAGACGTTCTATCACGAGACTGAAGGTCCTGATTACGAGCCCTAGTAGTGGGGTCGTTAAACCGCACTTTTCAAGAGTCCAGTACTGAAACGAAGTAGCAGACAAGTGATTACCGGTTTTTAGTGGCGATCTTGCTAACAACAATTCGTGACTTAAATTATGAATCTCCGAAACTAAAATAAACAAACAATAAATGTACATTTATAACTCATCATCTTTTTCACAAGTCAAGTCTGCATACCTATAACACACCAGTGAATAAACATATAAAGTAACAATATAGACCAAAGTGAAATTACTCTCTCTCTCTCTCTCTCTCTCTTACCTTCTGCAACATCAAATCCTTGAAATTTTACAGGTTGAGCATAATTAATAAACGATGATAATAATGGATGAATACTACTTGTAGCACCAGTATAATGATAATGAGCCATCATTATTTGTTCTTCTTCAGCTGTTAAATTTCCCTACAGAAAACAGTTGAAACAAGTAATAATAATATCAACATTGAAAGTAATATTTGATGAAGAAAAATGTGTTAGAATGTTGAGAAAGAATACCTAAAAAAAAAACAGGTTGATGCAACTTTAAATAACTAAGCTGTCTACAATCGATTCTAAATGATCATACAACTGTAATGCACCAGTTATTATTCAGTTGAGTCTCAGTGTACAAAAAGTGGCAGTAAACAACATGTAAATCTCAGTCTCTGAAACGGATTTTTTTAATAGTGTTAAATCTCAAACAGACAGTGCAACTTGAATTCAAGCAAAAAGATATAGAGTTGGTCAGGTAAGAGAATCGATAACAGATAAAACTGGAAGAACAAGCCGTTTTTGAAATATTTAATTGTTTAAAAATTCTCATCGTGTCAAAGGATTTATTATTACTAGACTAAACATATTCTTTTCAATGAAGTTTCATCATTTTTTGACAAAGCTATACCAAAATGAATGATCAAAAAAATGTGGTCAGGTATTCATTAAATGTAAAAGCTTATTTAAGCTAATAGTGAATATTAGTTATCTGAACAATTTTATTTCATGTCACAAATCAATCGTTACTTCCCATGTTATAATTGACCAAATATAAGTGTATTTGTGAAAAATGTTGCAACCATTTAAATAAATGACAATTTAAAAACATTACTAACTGACTCGTTAGTATTACTACTTATTAGTAGCCAAAAAATCACATGATTTAATCAACAACGTCCACAAACTCACAAATTTCTTTTACCCTCAAAAGTCCACTTAAAATATGACGCAAACATAAAGTGTAGAAGTAGAGATTGCCTTTCTACGTTTCAGCAACAACAACAACAACATCACAGCCTACAGTAGCAGTATTTCAAATAACAATTCTAAGCAACAAAAAAACAAAACAGATTTAACATATGTAGTATTGATTTTCATTAATTTATCAGTGAATCGGATACAAATACTGTGAGAAATACTTTTTAATTAACACTAGTTATGTACCCTGTGAACGATAATTTTCGGAAAAAATGTTTATGAATGGTCTAAAGCTACAACGAATACAATACAATTAATCATATCAAATTGTTTTGTGAAAATTTGTCAAATGATTACATTGAACATATAACAACAATAACAAAACAACAACAACAACATGATGTTGATAACAATCATAACTATCAATGTTCAAGTTCAAAATAATCGATATTTCAATGAATATATGCATTTTAATTAAAATATAAGCATAACTTACTTCCTCCTATATTGATTGATTGAACAGATACATGTTCGATTAGTGACAAATATTATCCATTTATTATTATCATTATTATCCAAGCATATATGACAATTCATATTGGATACATACGTTCACATCGACCACCATCAATGTTCGATTAGGAGTTTTGGTTGTAGTTATCATGATTATTATTATTATTATCAATGAGAAATACAAAAATAAAAGAGAGCAAACATTGAAATGTATGTATATACTACTAATATACAGTGATTGCATTAACCTAGAATACATTGACACGTGACAATCTGCAGTCATTTCAGACAGACAAACAGACAGACATATACAACGCAGAACTTCGTACATAAGTACATCAGTTCAGGTTGCCATACCACGTCAGCACAGAGACGTAATTGTCAGTTCAAATCCAAGAGTGATAGCGATAGTAGAATTATTAGCAGTAATGGAGAAGATTAGGGAGCGAAGATATGATTCAAAAAGTATAATTTAGTGAGATAAATTTAGAAGGAAAAAAGATAGAGATTATGAGGAATTCAGAAGGATAGAATTAAAAAGTACACAAAGAGTGGATGCACGTGCGCCATTGCAAACGATTTTGAGCCATGTCGTTCAAGGTCTCTAACCATTGGTAACTTTCGTCTCGCGGACCCCAGTCATTTCGAATATGTTAGAATAGTAACTATTGCTATTATTACAGTAGATAAACAAAGACTACTCCATAGTGGCTATTGAAAGAACGATAAATAATCAGCATGTTATTACCACAAACCTTTTTTAATTGTAATCTTTTCAATTCCGCACTAGAAGCACAACTACTAAGTACTTGTGGAGCAGGAACTGTAGATATTGTAGATTCACTCCCGCCACCGGAGCCAGTAGTAGTTGTAGTGGCAGAAGTAGTAGTAGTAGTAGTTGGATTGAACTCGCCATTGTTTGGTTTATTCGCTGAGCATCCATCACCATCTACAAATAAGCATTATACATGCATATTTTAGTATTAAAAACCATATATATATATATATATATATATGCATGTTGATAGAATAATTAAACTAGAATGTGTGGTATGGTGACTTGAACCGATGTATGTACGTATAAAGTTCTACGTTGCAGCTGACTGCTGTGGTGGATGCTACTTACAAAGTGGCTTATAAGTAGTATGCAGCGGAGCGATATTTAGAAGTTGCTACCAGAGAGAATAGTGTCAGATCGAAATGCATAGTGAGATTAGAGTATGTTGAAAACTATAGATGTGAGAGAAGACATAGATATTTGAAGAATATATGCCCATAGTATGTATATAAACTGTATCTTCTCCAAATACAAAGATATATTTCATCATGGTCTTGACTTATTCGTATACCACACCATGAATTAATTACACTAAGGTAATAATATATACATCATTTATTGATATAAATCAATGTATTGATTGAAGAAAAACGAGTTTAATCAAACATTAACTACCATTAATTAACTGAAAACCTGATACATATAATATATGATATAAGTGTTTTGATATGGGCCATAGGACTGACAGCAAGACAGCGTTTAAAACATTGTATGTGTGTACGAAACAATGTGTTATAACCTTGAATTTACCCATTTTACGACTTAGGGTAATGTGACGATTTCTCATTCGTTCTATACTAATGTGAAGTTTCTCTCACTCTCTCTCACTCTCTTATTTACAATGATCACCTTATGTTTATTTGAACTTTTATTTAATTGACCTTTTATTAATTTTCATAAGAAATACCCTGACAAAGTAAATGTGTGACCTAAATTTTCGAAATGTGAAGCGCAGAAATATCATTATATTTTTCAGACCAACTAAGTTTTCACATTGATTTATCGAAATCTACACCTTTTTTTGTTGTTGTGAAAAAAAATCAACAAAATTAAACATTTAAAAAAAAAACATGCAGTAATTTTGAATCACATAGAAAATTCAACAAAATAGTTGAAAACCGGAAATGAACACTAATTCCTTTTTAAAAAAAAATTGATGTTTACTCACTGACAAACAGAATAGTTTGGTTTTAAAAGTAAGTACCAAAACAGTGATATTTTTCGAAGCAATAAATCAGAACTAAACAACATAGTTTTCAATAATTTGGCTGTGTGATATTGTGGATTCATAGAAATTCAATATCTACACCATTAAATGGCGAAACAGTGATTTAGAGATAATCTGCATGCTGCAAGTCCGGAAGGTTGTAGGTATGCTTCTTGATGGGATCGTGAATAAGTGAAACTAAGGAGTCATAGATTAATGGAGCGAAACAACCAACTCTACAAGGCTTCCTACTCTTTAATAGTTGTTTAATTCACTTCGGTTCATGATAGTGATAACAATCGATCATCTTCACAAGTTACTTTTCTGTCCTACTATACTAAGAATAAACAATCACTTTATTAATTAATCATATTCATACACAAAAAAAGCCGGTTTCATCTGCAACTATAGCATATCTCTTTATTTAATGGTTCATAGATCAAATACCAATAGAAAACTACCAATACATTGACATTTACACTGAAAAACACAACACTTATTCTTTATTTACAATATTGTACTTTCTAATCGGTTCACTTAACAGTTCACTGAAACTAATATAAAGCCCCTGCAAGATAACACCAACTACACTATCATCAACAACAACTACGATGTATGTAGTTAGTTATTGACACATGAAAACAAGATTAAAGATTTTCAACATCAATCTAGTCTGCTATTCTTGTTTTTGTCGACAACTGTCTACAATTGTTGTTTATCTAAATTGTGTATTGTATTATGAAACAATAATGAAAACAAATTGATATTCACCAACAAAATAAACTTATATACATAAACTAACCAACATTGAATAAAAATCCTTATAGGAATACATGCAATTTACTAAACACCATAAATAGGATTTACAATGAAAACATGTATCAGTGAAATTGTATAGAATCAGTTCACATTAGCATAGCTCGAAAGAAATCAACGATCCAATGAGGAGAATATTACTGAAAACACTTGAAAAAAAAAACTAAGAGCTGTAAAAGTTAGTTTGTCATGCTCGTCAACTGATATGCTTGAAACTAACAAGAGTTCACCTTACTCGGTAAACGAGAGCGAAGAAAAATGATTCAGTGACAAGATAGGCTATTCTAATCCGAGCGTCCCAACGCCTCAGTAAATAGAGGAAGAAGTCTTAATAAGGCGATGAAAGTGTATTCTACAAGCAACCAAAAAATCGAGTTCATTTATAATACATGGTAGAAACGTCCTTGGGAGAGCCACAAAAACAAGGCATTAAAATAACACACCTACCAATGACAGTCAAGGGTGTTCCTGGTGGAAAATGTAGTCTCAAGGTCAACTAATCAACCCGTGCGCTAAGACATAAAATCCAAAATTAGGATCTTTATGACGTGAGTTCTGGGGATCTAGCGTCCCCAACATAGTTATAATGGAGGAAGTTAAATAATGAGTACATAAATCTACACTAATCAAATAATAATAATAATAATGGTGCAAGTATACTGTCTTGGTAACTTTGAGTGAATTATTGGTCATTCAGAAAACAATAATTAAATCACATGACGATTTAGAATAACAAACGAATCAGTTTCAATCGATAAACAATGTTAATATAATTAATGAACGGGATACATAATAAATTATTTATTATAGTAAACAACAAAAGTTTACAGTAAGTTATTAAGAGTTTGACTAAAGTTATAAAAATGTTACTGATGAAAAATTAAACGTGTTAGAGTGGCAGAATTATTCTTAACTACAAAAAAAGAACATTCCTGAATTGTATCATGTACCATGAAGTACAATATGTAATCTACGACAGCTATTTCTTGTAATTTGTCTTACCGTGTGGGAGCATAATTACTACTTTGAGAATTTTAAGAACTAGTTATAGATCGTATTTAATTAGCTTTGAATTAAATAAATGTCATTCACTGTGCTTTGAATTGCTAGAGACCTTATCTTAAACTACATTGATTGGTTTACAGGTTGCCAGTGTAATATACCGTTGACGGATTCATTTTAAACTACTGCAAGCAAAATGGGTAATTATCAATAACAATCGACTAACTGATTATAAAAAAGTCAGAAAACATTTTGTAACATTGATCAAATTTAAGGCTGATAATGTTAAACACGTTTATGACTTCTTGGTTTAATTATTCATGTATTTCATACAGTAATTGTATAGTAGCCAAATACTCAATTAATCAGTCAATCAATAGCAACTCAGAACTTCATACTAAATCTTAATGGAATATATTTTGTTAGGATATTCATCAAATATCCTAAGAGAATTATTTTTGTATGTCTAAAGCTATTGGTCAATTACTATTGGTTAATTCCTATTTGTCGTCCTAGCTGTCAATGTCACATACTTCAAATGCTGTTTCCTATTCGCCCTAACTGTAGAAATATGCATTATCTATAACGTTAAATGATTCGGATACTTAGTCCGGGATCCTTATCCTCTTCTGGACTCGGACCTCATATTTTCTGGGTGCTTGTAGAATACACTTACTACGCCATATCAAGACGTCTTCTTCTACTTCGTGGGGCTTTGGGACGCTCGGATTAGAGTAGTCTATCGTGTCACTGGATCATCGGTCCTCGCTCTCGTTACCGACTAAGGTGAACTCGTAATAGTTCAAGCATATCAATTGACGTGGTGAAGCTGAATCGTAACATATTTATATACCTACACCATCAATAAAAAAATGTCTTCTAAGTCACAAATAAGAACTGAACTCAAATTTCTAGGAAAAAACATGCTAGTAAAGCATATCAAGACGACCTATTGTGTTTGTTATGGTTATTTGATACGCTCGTCAATTGATATGCTTGAATGCTATTACGAGTTCACCTTACTCGGTAAATGGAACGAAAACAATGACTCAGTGACACAATTGGCTATCTTAATCCGTTTGTCTCGGGCCTAGCGTAGAAAATGTATTCTACAAGCATCCACAATATGCGAGGTTTGACAAGCACACAAATCGAGTTTATTTATACATGATAGAAACGTCCGTTTGAGAGCCACAAAAATAACATACTCAAATAACACATCAGCCAGTGATGACAGTCAAGGATTTCCCGAGTGGGAAATGTAAGCTCAAGGTCAACAAAGTAACTTATGCACGAAAACATAAAAAATCCAACATTAAGACCTTTTCCAAGTGAGTCCTGGAGAACTAACGTCCCCAACATTATTTATGTTCTGAATATATATATATATATATATATATATATATATATATATATATATATATATATATATATACTGAAACGTTTTTTAATGAACATGAAAAGCTTATGTATAATAAATATAATAACACTAATGAAGATTGACTGGCACGCAACTTGCTTACCATCTCTATCCAGTGGTAAATCCGGATCATCGGTGACTTCATTTTCTTCTTGAATAGCATCAGTTTGACCTTTTAAAAATAAGTCTAATTGTTCTGTAGAGATAAGAAAAAAAAATATATGAACAAGAAAATAAAATAAACAATAAATGTATGTTTGTTTGTTTGTTAATTAAAAAAAATTTATTCACAATATAAAAAAGAACAATAACAGATTTTAGAAAGAAAAAAAAAAGAAAAAATGTTAAATGAAATGAATAGCAGCCTGACATCATTTATTATTTTATTTTTTAAAGGTTAATTAGAATATTTTATTTTTGTTTGAATTCAAGAAAGAATAAACTAGCGAATAAAAACTCCATATACGTATATATATATATATATATATATATATATATATATATATATGAATAAGGTTGTTGCCAGTAAAAAAAAGATAGAGGGCATTTAAACAAAAATAAACAACGAGATTAAATAAATCTATTTTCAATGCGGATGCGATGGATTGCTTCAATTTATGTTAAACTATTTTCTAATGAAAGTTCTGTTGGAAAACTTGCGGTAGAATTCGTTGAATTATGGTAAGTATGTATTTTATGTCAGAATTCAGTATTTGACTAAATGTGTTACAGCTTTTTTTCCCTTGATTTCATTAATGAAAAGTCATTTTTCCTAAATTGAAACACCTTCGCAGTCAAACAGATAGTTAGCATAGTTCAATGCTTACAGCTTATGGACGACGCAATACTAACGAGAAGAAAAAAAACTACTCCATTGAAATCAATACACTTAGTAAAAATACATGTTGCAGCAGTAATAAAGATGCATAGATAGATTTAATCATCTATTATACGAGTGAAAATATATATATCAAACCATGGGATCAATATTAATTTGACTTTTGTCTAGAGAGAGATTAGATCTAGCTAAATGTATTGCAATGCTGTTCTCGCCTATAACTGTTTTCCCATTGTTTACGTTATTCACAGGGAAATATTAAAGAGACTGGAAGACCAGAGGACACACTACTACTTCTTTATTTAAGTCATCAGTACAACAACATTGAAAGTTAAATAAATTCCCAACTAAATAGGTCTAAAAAGAACAAAAAAACCTATTTTCTTTCACATTCCACTCTTAACTACTTATAAAATCTATATTCAATAGTAGATGAATAAAAATTGTAAAGCATGAGAATATTTCGAATGAATTCACAGAAAACCATCATATAATAATGCCAATAATAATAATAATAATTCAAATCTTTTACAAAATAGGAGAAAAAAAAGATAACATTCAATAAAATAACATATAGAATGCTAGCCATTTTAACACATCGAAGGGACTGGCTGATTATAAGAATAATTGTTAAGAAAAAAACAGAGAAGGAAAAAATAAAAAAATAAATTCAATCGCATCACACAATTTAGCATAATCACAATTTGAGAATCAATTCAACAGAAAAATTTGTCTAATAGAGAGAAATATGAACAAAACTTATAATTCGATGCGAATTATTCGTTCCAGTTTCGATGAGAGCATTGATAATCAATTTATTATATGCAGGTTTAAATAGGAATTAAAAGAATATACTACAAACTAATCTTAGTATTACCCGACCGTAGCTGCTACCTTGACGTGGTGGCCGGGCTTGCCTATCGTGATGACCCAATCGAGCTATATTGTCTCGAACAAATGTTCCTGTAGGTTCTACCACGACAGGAAGGTCGATTGGAGAGCGATGAGACTAAAAGCAGCTACTCAAGGTCTGAGGTCGAAGTCGCACTGCTGACTGTTGAGGGTTGTGACAGTAGTGTGTTTCCCTCGGACAACCAGCATCTGCAGCGATGTTACCTTCTCACAAGGAAGGAAGGGTTAGAAAAGTCGACCCTAAAAATGTCACAGCTCACCTTACCTCACGGATTTCAGTCTCCGGCAGTAAGAGCTTTTAAATAGGAGCGGAGCTAATACTTTAAATACTTCTCATAAAAAGGCCGTGTGTGACTGGCCTCAAGCAGTTGTCCCTTGGACTCTGCGGTCACGCTCCCAGGTCTCTAAGACCAATGCTAATCTACTTTCCTTTTCAGGTAGTATCATCCGCTCTCATACCTGTACCAGCATGAGAGACCAAATTGATCGAAATCAATTCCCAGTAGTAGTAAGGTGAAATTGCACAACTCGATGATACTATGCTTAAACACTGAACGTTCACAATGTCCTAACCTTAACTCTACAAAAGTTATACATTTAAAGCAACAAAAGAGTGGTAATACAATAGAAGTAAAATTTAAAATGATTAGTTTAGAGGCAGAAAAGCATAGCTGTTAATATGGAGCTGAGTGAGAAACTAAAAAACTAAACGTCCAGAAGTATTATTCAAATTAACTCTGACAAAGTGAAACAACCTAAGAAGAGGTTTTTGGAAACTGTCCAAAAAAATTGCAATGTTCTTTGACACATTTCTCCACTTATGTAGGGTTTCTTGCGTAGAACTTGTCACCAACATCAGTAAATTCAAACGGAATGGCTTTTTTTTAGAAAATAATGCCAAATTATTAGAAATAGTAACAGTAACAGTGCAAATAATGAAAAGAGTAGGCATACATAATATGATTTTTCATTATAGATTTATGAAGACTGTTGTTTATTACTCAATTCCTGAATCAATCATTCCAAAACCACCATTAGAATCCTAGAATCACTAGATGGCTGTTCTGTCCTGGTATGGAACTCATCGGTTGTGCGCCTTCGGTCTTGCGACCGAGCGCCAAACCTCTGAACTACTCAGCCAGCATCCAACTGTGTTAATGTCTAACTGTAACCAGTCCAGGGATCTTCCGTGGTTACTGCCTATACCCGACAGACTTGAGCTCCGCTGGTCACGTTTTCTCACTAGAACTCCGAGCTAGTTACTAGTGCCCCATACCAGGACGAAACGGCCATCCAGTGCTTCCAGGTTTCTAATGGTGATCGAACAATGATTGATTCACAAATTCACTGATATATACAACATGATTTAACAAGAAAAAAATAGAATCCCAACATAACCAGAATAAAATAATTCGAAAATTAAAAAAAATCTAACAAGAAGATAAAAAATAAAAGTGATGAGATTTGTAGCCTGATAACAGAATTTTTTAATTCATGTCACCAAAATTTTTCTACGCATTGATCATGATAACCGTGAAAACACCAACCTATTATAGTCTACACTTGAGAATACAGCTCAGCTGAACAATCAGTGACTTAATGGACCGAATCATATCATATACATATATATATATCTGAAACATATACTTTCAGAAAAAATTCACAATAATTAAACGAACCACTCAAAAGTGAAAGAAATCTAATATAATGATCGATAAAAGATTGAAATCTTTATTTTATTTTTTTTCAATCATGTCCATTTTATATAGATGATATATATCCAAAATCTGTAAAAAGTAACAGATTTGGGACAATTATAGGAGATAGAATTTTGAGTCTCATTTATTATGCAGAAATGATTGCGTCACGATGTCGAATTTATCGAGACAAACATATGACTTGCAATGAAATATGTATGTGATATATTACTAAACCGAAAAATAAATTAAAAAATATATATATATATTCACCTCACTAAATGAATTAGTTTCGATACAATGCTTACATATAATCTACTCAGAAAACGATAGTAGTTAAATAAATTTCTAAAAAAATCAGTTCAATCAACTCAAAACTCAGAATTTCCAAAGTAAAAGGATAGAATAAATACACATAAATTTTGTGCAAAGAATACACAATACTATTGTGATGTAGGCTACTACTACTACTACTATATGTATGCGCAGTTATTGTTTTTGTATGAATAAGTCTAATCCAAATGTGTTGTGTACACATATCCAGCATTTATAACAATTCTCTCTAACAATGAAATATCATGGTTTATGAAGGATTATATTCATAGTGTTGAGTAGGAAACTCTCTAGTGCAACAGAGTAAACTAAACATAATTTCCTGTTACACCTTGTAATCATCATTATGACAGGAAAACACAAAGATGATATGAATACTGATCAGTATATTATTCGTAACATACCGAAATAATAATTGTATAGGTTGTTGTTTTAAAATATTTAACAGATAACAATGTAACCTATACAAGTCTGCGAAAGAAATAAAGAATGGATTTATCAGTTGAATTAAACATAACAATACACGTTTTTCATCAATTAGAGTTATGGGGAACAGTGATTTTACATTTTGAAACCATCAATCAATCATTGTTAGACCAGCATTAGCAATCTGGAAGCACTGGACAATCGTTTCACCCTAGGTTCGAATCCTGTGAGTAGTAGGAGTCGTGGGTGGGTGGGCACTACTGATGAGTCCTAATACTAGGACGAAACAGCTGTCCAGTGCTTCCACGTTTCTAATGGTGGTCTAACACTGATTGATTGATGATTTGAATGTATCATAACAATACGATCTTTTTTCTTAATAATCGAACATGGCAACACCAAGTTAAACTGGCCTACTTTCAATACAAATGACATAATCTCACTTCACATTTCACTAAAAATGTATCAAGCATCGTCGATATTGTGACTACTTATTTTAATTCCAGTTAATTATTTTTTGCCGTAAAATAACTTATTCAAATCAACAACAACAACAAATCAATTTCGTTACGGTGAGAAAAACCGCCTAAAATGTATATACATACAGAGATTCGGTTGAGCATTCAGAACCATGTAGAATTCAAAGCCGCGACATCTGTCTCAACTAACATAATGAAAGCAATAATGATTTAAGATTGGAAAAAATCACAAATACATACATAAACACATATATATCGATAACATGGTTAGTCGAATCAAAAATAGGCACGTCAAGTTAAGCGCAATTTTTAATGCAGTATGAATTGAATTAAAGAGAGAAAGAGATTAGTTCAAATGACGAATCCGTCATTTTTGGCGTTTAAAACAAACAACTTACTGGTTATCTGTATTAACACTAATAAGAATAACGAGATAGTATGAAATAATCAAGAACAACAACAACAACAACAATAGCAACAAAATCTATGCCAAAGACAAAGTTTTTGAGGAAAATCTTCCTCATTCATAGAAATAAAACTGATAAAATGGAAATAAATCATTTCAAAGTAACCATTATTAGCTTAATTAAAGTTTATTTTTTGAGAAGCATGGAAAGACAGAGTGATCTCTTGTTCCATGTTACTAAAAACAGTTTTCTGTAATATCAAATCTCAAGAAATGTGTGATTTATATAAATTTACACATTTTTTGAAACAATGAATCGATCAATGTTAGACCAACATTAGAAACCTGGAAGCGCTGGACGGCCATTTCGACCTGGTATGGGACTCATCAGCAGTGCGCATCCACGACTCCTGCACCTCGCAGGATTCGAACCCAGGACCTTCGGTATTGTGCGCGAACGCCTAACCTCCGGACCACTAAACCGGTATATAACGGTGTTAATGTCTAACTTGATCGATTCACGGAGTTGCGCAACCTCATACACAGTCTTCGGTAGTTACTGTGTACACACGAACAGGTTGAACTTCACTGGTCACGTCTTCCCACTAGAACTCGGAGAAGATTCCTCACGAAGCTAGTCACTAGTGAGCACAGGTAATTTGTACTACGGGGTTGTGAAGATTTTTAAGTTACAAATTTTTTGAAACCATAAATTTGATGACATCATCAAATCCTAACGCTGAATGTGTATGAGGAAACACGAAATCACGCTCATCAATTACACAGTACAGTTGATTGTAGCCGGATTTAAGATGAATATCAATACACTTATTAAAATATTTCGAAATTTATCAAGGATGTACATTACTAAGTTTATAAAAGCATTGGATATTAGCAAATTCAGACCCTATTATAATGTATAACAGAAACCATTTGTTATAATGTTGAATGTACCTGGGTAATCTGTAAACCATTCTACTTCCTACGATAGTGGCATGCAAATATTAAAATAACTTTTTTCGCTCTTTTATTCAATATTATCACTTTCTTGTTTATTTCAACTTTACTTAATTGACATTTTGTGAATTTTCATGCAAAAATGCCTTGACAAGTTTATCTATGATCGAATTGTTCAAAATGTATTGTGTGAATATATATCACATCTTATGGATGACCATCGTCTTCTCATTGTTCTATCAGGAAAAAAAATGTATTGAGAAAGGGACTAATTGCTTAAAATATGATTGTTAAGATGAGTTTTTTTTTTAAAGAAAAAAGCACTAATTATTGATTTTTGCAGAAAAAGGCCAAGATATTTAGACAAATATTTTTCAGTCCAACATTTATTCACAATAAGAAGTGATGAAAACTATACCACTTCCAACCACGCATAGTACAAATCATTCTTAAACTGTGCTTACTTTGAATAAGAAGGAAAAACCCTATTGACTAATTGTATTCCTATTGGAAGTAAGACCTACACGGGGGTCACTAAACATCATCATTATATACTGATTACTATACTTTACCAACTAATTAACATACTAATACTATTCTTATCTTAAATATTTTTTTAAGAAACTTTTCATTTCATAACTATCAATTTATGATATTGGTCAAAATTATTTTGAAATAAAACATAACATAATACATTCGAAAAAAATACAACACAAACAGATTGAAAACAAACGAAAAACTAATCATACAAAAAAAAATAACACAGACTTACGTTTTTCAGCTTCCGGTTTTAAACGTTTATTTTTAATAAGAATTTTTCTTTTCAATTTTTCCGGAGGAGGTAATGCAACACCAGGTTCTAACTGATTAATTTTGAAATAGATAATGAGGGAAAAAGATGAATATAAATTTGGGGAGAAATGATTTCCAGTTGTTACACAAAAATCACGCCCACGTACAATAAGTAAGTGAGTGAGTGAATCAACAAAAATCTATGATGATTAGAGGAGATTGCATAATAAAGTACTTTAAATTTAGAAAATCGAATTTGCTCTTAAGTGTAAACTACTTTATAATTAATTGTCCACTTGAGTTGCAAATTTTGTTCATTAGTTGCTTAATGATAACAACACTTTTGAAAGTAAAACTCACTAATATATAAGCTTTAGGTACAGTTTGTTATAATAATGTAACATCTCAATGTTATTATATAATCTAGTTTGATTATTTTATTTGTATAATTAATTATATTAGGTAATTGAAGAATATTGTTACAATTGCTATGCCATACTGTTTGGATTTCTTAAAGATTTCCCCTACAAAACAGGATGGATCGCTCTTATTGATCCAATGAAAGTATGTCAGTTAACATGATTCAATGAAGAGTCCAATCAAACAGTCAGAAATATCTTTGAATCTGAAGGCAATAATTCAACTATTAAAACTAAGGCCATATCAATTTGTATGAATAAATCAACAGTAGTTATTATTAACTGAAAAGACGCAATCGAATAAACTACCCCTCTGCAAGTAGATAATTTTTTTTACTCACTTCAAAGTTATATACATTTACAACACAAGTGAGAATTCGAATAGAAGAAGAGAAATCTAAGTAACCATTAGACTCGGCTGAAAGCGGAATCAAGAATTGACTGTCCTATAAAGAATCGTTGCAGATATGATCACAAACTAGTTACCACCTGTCGCTATTACATTACAATAAGTCAAGTACTGTTTACATTTAGTCAAAATAATACAGAATTGTATATTTTTATATCAAATGATAATCAAAGTAACAATAACAGCAATAACAGAAAATAAAAATAGTTACCGGATAATTATCTAAAGGTTTTGTCAATAACATATCTCCAAGTATCTCTTCACAATATTTCGCTAGTTTATATTGTTGATGTTTGCTAAGAATAGAATTTTGGAAAAAAATAAACGACGTGAAATATAAGATAAATTGAGTGGAGTACAAAATGTGAAGATACGGAATGTGATAATCTAGGCACTGAAGACTTAGCTAGATGAATTCAGTAGAATTTTCTTAGGCTCTATACACATATAAGCAACGGAATTGTGGCGAAAATGTAAAGACCGAAATTATTACACACTGATAGAAGTATTCTCAAAATGAAAAATAGAATGACTGAAATAGTCATTTCAATAATCATAATGAAGATAAAACATACAGGGTACAATTAAATGATGTTGAATCCAGTGATGAAATATATAATAAAATAATAGTGCTAAAAATGTTTAAAGGCTGCAAATTTAACATACATAATTCACATAAAACCAATGAACAAAAGATAAGTATTAGCTTATGCTGACCATAGTTTAACTAAAATGTCAAACCGTGATGGACGGTGGACTTAGACAGATCAACTGGTCTCAACTACCATGATAAATATTAGCTGCCTTATTAATCAAATAAATTAACTACCAGTATCCCATGCTTGACTTGAGTATTATTCGTCTGATTGTAATTATTTGAAATCATGAATCCCAAGTTAATCTTAAATTGCTCAGGCCAAGTATATATGTAGTATGAATTCGCTCAGTCAGAGACTTTAAAATTCAAACAATGATGCTCCATTCACCAAATGAGACAGAACCTTGAACAAATCTATTTTATCACAGTTTAAATCAAGTACTGAACTTAACTAAGCTATCATTGAGAGCATGTTTATTATTTTACGGTTGTGAAGCGAGATAACGAAGGTCAAAGAGGTTTATGAATTTATATTTTATTAAACATTTAGACGCACGTAGGGAATGATTTGCATATGATTAGCTTACAGATACGTTTGTATGTCCTTCATGACAGCGACAATAGGATGTTCCTAGACTTCTGGAACTGATGAAGATTTGTTAGGAGGATCTGAGCAGATGGTAGAATTTTCAGGCTTTATATAACGGAATGATCTCATCTAAACCACTACTGAAAGCACTGAACGGTAGTTTCATCCTAGTATTGGACTCCCCAGTAATGCATATCCATGACTTTGCATGTGGCAACAGAACCCAGGATCTTTGATTACACGCGAACGTTGAGGCTCTATACCAAATGTGTTAATCTTGAACCAGGATTCCCGCTAAGTGGTTTATAGGTTAAGCATTAATGTTTGAGATCGCAATTTCTGGGTTTGATTCATACGTGCAAAGTCATGGATATGCACTGCTAAGAAGTCCTATACTAGGATGAAACTACCATTCAGTGCTCTCAGTGTTGAAAATCCTACAATCTGTTCAAATCCTCTGTACAAATGTTTATCAGTTCCAGAAGTCCAGAAACATCCTATTGTCACAGTCACGAAGAAAATACAAACGTATCCGTAAACTAATCATATGCCAATAACTCCTTACGGGCGTCTAAATCTTTAAAAAAAATGTACGTTTATATATGTCTTTGACCATCGTTGCCCTGCTTCACAATCATGAAGTAATATCCACGATGTCGAGCAGTATTTCTCCACTTAACAAACAGACAAACATCTCCTTTGAGTTAAAGTTAGCAAAAATTGTCAAAACCATAGGAAATGCTTGTTTTTCAGAATCGTTGAAATTTTCTTTACATTAGACATTATTCACTGCAAAATACACAATCAGATACGGAAATTTATTCTATCCTACGGTGCATTGTTTTTATTTGACAAGGAAAAACATCAATAAAATGACAACATACTTTTTAAAATTATAAATCAAGTACAAATGTGAAATAAGTCATTTACAGTATACTTGGCACAAACTAATCATCAATAGTTTATTATGATAATTAGACAAGTTAAAATTGAAAAAATGTGAAATAACATAGTTGTGGTTATTGTTCTATGCTGTATATACGAGCGTTAAGAAATAAGTGCACCATTGAAATTCATTCATCTAAATATTATGTTGATGACTAATAGATTCGTTACTTAGACAAAAATGAAACGAATTTCATAAATGAAAAGAGAATCTGTTCGTAAACTAAGTCACATCATACCACACAGTATATTAGATAGATTACTTAAGCCAAAAGAATAGAAACTAAATAGACAATATCACCAAAAGAAACACGAAAAATGAATTTTTAAGATAAATTTATATACACATTTGAAACCATCAATCAGTCATTGTTAGACCACCATTAGAAACCTGGAAGCACTGACGGCCGTTTCGTCCTGGTATGGGACTCATCAGCAGTGAGCATCCACGACTCCGGCACCTCGCAGGATTCGAACCCGGGACCTTTGGCATTGTAGGCGAACGCCTAACCATCGGACCTCTGGACCGGCATCCATCCGGCATAAATTTATTAGATTGGTGGAAAACATTAAACTAGCCCATATATTTATATAGGAAATCATTTCAAGATTTCTTAAAAATTATATTCTCATTGTACACTGAAGCACACTTTCAAGTAGTATTGTTGTGGACGAAAACCCAGGTGAGGACATCAACAGTTACATTTAAGCGAATATTACAGAGTTGTTAAGCATTGTACAAAACATTCCCGTGAATCATCATTTGCAAACTAATCCTTATTTGTTTCAGCTTTCAGTATTCTTTCATTTAGACTGTTCAGACTTCAGTTTACTTTACGTTACCTACAAATCGCCTTCTGTTCTCATTCTTTCCTTCTCGATTTTTTGCTGTCAGACGTTTGATTTCCATTTGATATCATATATTACTTACGTGAACATAAGTAGCGTACACCACAGTATCACTTGTGTTCAGAGAAAAATACTGTTGACAAGTTTCTTAAATCAATTGAACGGTAATTCAAGACGATATCTTAAGGTAAGTAATCTGCCACCAGAATATTATGAAACATTTGTTCATTCAAGAAAAAATTCTGTACTTAACAAAGAGGTGAGCTAAATTTATTTGATAAATTAAAAATTACCAACTAAACGATCAGTCAGTCAGTTACAACGTAGAACTTCAGCTTGCCATAACACATTAATAGAGAAATGCAATTGTCAGTTCAAATCCCAAATGAAAGATAGTCTTGATGAAATATTCAGATTTCGATGAAAAACTTAAAAATATTTGAGAACCCACATTGTATCCCATTTAATCAATTGTTAATTTGTTAATTTCTCAATGAGTTCCCCACCCGTTAGCAGGTATTCATCTGAATGATTCACTTACAGAAAATGTGGTTTCTCCTGGGACTTAAAATATCAGATTTATTTGACATTTTCAATAGTTAAATGATATAGAGTAATAATTTTCACTAAAAAAAATGCATGCTTCAAATCAGGCTTCTATCAATGATATCTACATTAGTTAAACATTAAGTCAAATAGTATAATAACCAGTCACTCTGGTAAAATCTCTGAAATTGGCAGCCAAGTAATTATTGTGTTTTTCGCAGATAAAAACACGAAAATTTTGTTTAAATATGATCTAGCTAGTTTTGTTGAATCAAAATGATTTTCATTTTTAACAATTACACACTTTAAATTTCACGAATGATAATGTGATAGTTTTTCACAAAAACAGGCAGGAAAATCTTTCGCGACAATTTCAAACTCTGCAAATTATCATTAGTGAAACTTTAGCCACACTTAAAAGCTTTTAGCTAGACACTCTAATATAGTTATTTACTTAACGGCCTTAAAATCTGTATGCTATCCACCCTAGCTTGAGGCAATTAGGTTTACAAGCCTTTAATTCTCATGCCAAAGAATCTTCAGTAAGCTAATACGTATTCCATCAAATAAATACGCCGCCAGATAACAGTGTTCGATATTCACACATTTACTTCATTGATCTATTATTCATGAAAGACAAGCAGGGAAGATTGACTTCTACACAGAGATCATCAATAGCATGTGTGTGTAGTGTCAGATCACACTGGTATGATGGTGATGACTGGTTGTCACATAACCACGACGTACTTACATATCCGGAGTTAGCTTTTTGCAAGTTATTGGCTCATAATTTGATTACAATACAAATCACCTACCAAAGTCACAGTACTCAGATACTGCTGAGATTCATTCAACTTACCGAAACGGGAAACAAATATGTGGTTACACTACTGAGATTGTGTGTAAAAGGCGATAAATTTTAGAAGTTGGCTTTTGAAATATTTAGGGTTTTTCAGGAATAATCGAAACAAAGATGAGACAAGTGCCATGAAATAAACGTGTAGTATTTCAAACAAGAAGAAAGTAAATAGGTTTCACATATTTTTCCGATGAAGTTTTGATGATCTCAGTTCGTGTGATTATGAAATCATTAGGTACTTTGGATAATAAACTTTTTGAGAGACATAAAAAAATATTCATACAACGCATCAACAAGATTTACAGATTAAACACAGCTAGTAATATTAAATTTATACAAAATTCTCATTTGAAATCATCAATCAATCATTGTTAGACCACCATTAGAAACCTGGAGGCACTAGATGGCCGTTTCGTCCTGGTATGAGATTCATTAGCAGTATGCATCCATGACTCTCGCTACTGATAGAAATCGAACACAGGACCTTCAATTTTGCGCGAGAACGCTTAACATCTAGACCACTAAGCCGGCATCCAGTAGTGTTAATGTTTAACTTTGATCAATCTGAGGTATTGCGCATCCACGTGAGACCGAAGGTCTTGGGTTCGATCCCCGCAAGCGGGGGTTATTTTTGACAACTGCTGATGAGTCCCATACCACGACAAAACACCCGTTCAGTGCCTACAGGTTTCCAATGGTGATCTAACAATGATCGATCCATGATTTAAGTTTAACAAAAAAAAAATAACAATACACCTAAATGTATAAACCTTTCTATACTGTAAAAATTATATAATTGTAAGTTGATTAATATTCAGTTCAGTTCATGAAAAACATTTGAAGTATAATATTACTACTACTACTACTACTGAATAAACAACTACATTGTATCCTGTAACTTATTATATACTGAGAATAAGCGTAGTCTACAGTTGATCCATTGATAATTATCACTTGATAAAAACAATAAAAGTTCAATTATTGACAAAGGATACATACATGTATTTGTTGCTATAACAACTTGAACAATCAATAATATGAATTCAGCATTTACATTTTAAGAATTGGTGATGATGATTTTATATATCATTTATAAAAAAATTATTTTATTTGAAAATTGAATATTTCATAGAATTTAGGAATGAGAGGAATACAAAGAAAGAAAAGTAGAACGCACATCAAACTATAAAAATGAATGTTTATTACCTAGAGTAGAGAGCTGGATATTTGAATGATCAGAATATTAGTTTTATAAAAAATTTAAACTTTGCTTTGATCCCCCCACTAACTATCTGAGAGATTGATCTTTTTTATAATTATTTTTTTTCCTGATAATGTTTGGACACTAATTTCGTTCAAATGTAATTTTGGTTCGTTGAATCAACACCAATCACAAAGTTTGTTCATAGATTAAGTTTATGATACGCATTAATGCTATTACGAGTTCACCCTACACAGTAAACGGAACGAAAGCAATGTTACGGTGACACGATAGGTTATTCTATTCCGTTTGTCCCCAGCTCGGCTAACTAGATCAAGAAGTCTTGCTTAGGCGTAGGAAGTGCAATACAAGGTTGACAAGTACACAAATCGAGTTTATTTATACAATGATAGGAATGCCCTTGGGAGGGCCACAAAATAGCGTACTCAAATAATCCACCAACCAATAATAGTCAAGGATTTTCCGAGGCGGAAATGTGAGCTGAAGGTCAACCAGCGCAAAAGCATGAAAATTCAAACTTTCGGAATAAAATTACAAAATTATGACCTATTCCAAGTCAGATCCGGGGATCTGACCTCCCTCAACAGTTTATTAGTCCCAGAAGGAATTATCGACGTTTCAATTATAATCAAATAGTGAAATCAAAACACTACAAGTTTAAACTATGTGGTATTACATAGGAAATAAGTATAAGTCAATGAACATGTGGTGGCCGATTTCGACGTTGGGATCACCATTTGCGGTGCACGTTTCTCTGCTCCAACTGATAATGTGTGGACGCGGTAAAGGTGGAAAGTCTCGAGCCAAGGCGAAAACCATGTCAGCCCGAACTGGTCTCCAGTTTCCGGTTGGTCGTGTTCATCGTCTGCTTCGCAAAGGTAATCATGCTGAACGCGTCGGTGCTGGTGCCCCTGTCTGCCTGGCGGTTGAAGTTCTCGAGTTGGCTCATCAGCCTTCTCCAACGCGCTTCGCCTGTTCATTCGCTTCCTTGGCCCATTCGTTCGCATTGTAATCCAAGGAGTTGTCTCATTAGCCTTCTCCACATTGCTTCTCCGCTTCGCTTTGTGGTGTGACCCAAATATACGTATTCATCACTATGAGGTCACCTTCTGATTTATAAAAACCGTTAGACGCTATTTAGTAACGATTGTCTAGACAAGCTAATTACCGAGCTTAAGAACAAGTGTAGTGAAGGAGAATACAGGTGAGGGCAATTGAATTTTTTATATCGCAAATTACAGAGTTACTCAGTAAAATAGGAAAACCATATCGTAAACGGTTAATTTGCAAATCTTCAATCCATTGTCTGACATTTCACTATTCATGCGTTTAATACAAATTCCATTGTGTTCCCACTCTTCCTTTCTTGATCTTCCCCCATCTACCGCTGCCAGACATTACGTTTTCACTCGCGTCATATACTACTTATAAGTAGCTAATTACCGAGCTTAAGAACACGTAGTAAATCGACACACTACATACATTTAGAATTTGACAAATATGTGCACAAATTTGATAAGATTCATTCAGAGTTGTTGAATAGAGAGAACAGTACTAAACTCTAGTGGTGAGATAGAGATGTGATGGCTTGATTTTTTTCTTTTACAGACTAATTCTATTAACTGTAATAAATTGAACTAATTTTAACCATTTGTTCTCATGACTGTTATTGCAGGTGCTTAAGTCTTGTCTTTTAATAAATATGATTTACTTGCTATCTTTAAGCATATGTTTTCTTAAAAATTACAATGAAAAATTATTTTGTGAAAAATTACTAAACACTGACGTTTCCTCTTATTTATTGAACTAGTCTACTAAAATTGTATAATTTTCTAATTAAAATCATATTCAACAAATATAAATTAATTTCAACTTTGAAAAACTATACATAGTTTGTGCACAGAGTTCTACTGAACATGATAAATCTTTCACAAAATGAATAATCATAAGGTGTATCATACATACATACATACATACACAGAGAACAAAAATTGGTTACCTGCAATGGTTCTCAAATGACATGATTACAGGACAATCGCTTGCAACGAATGCTGTATCTCGAATAGCATAAATCACGTCCTGTAGAAAAAAAAAGAAAAACAGACCAGATAAAATTGACACCAGTCTAAAAGTTTTGTCTCATTTTATCTACTACAATTAAATTGATGATAAATTACATTGTACAATGCTTAGCATTAATATTGCAATCTATATCTACAAATTGATTTGACATGGCGACATACTATTTTATTTATTTAATGTGAAGCAAAGAGTAATTGGTAGTGAATAAAATACGTTTTATTTTTTGCAGTTGGTATGTTCAATCTTAAGGAAGCTGACAATCGTTCTCATTTACCAACCAATACAGTCATTGAAACAGGCAGAAATGATATTACCAAGATAACGATCGATTTGCGATTTAAATTTATTAATTGTGAACAATTAGCCTGTTGGGGATGTTAGATCTCCAGAACTCGCTTGATAAATGCCTTATTTTGGATTTCACGTTTGCCAGCATCGGCTGATCATTTAACCTTGAGATTTCATTTCCCACCACGAAAATCCATGGCTGTGATTGGCTGCTGTGTATTTTAGTGTGCTATTTTCTTAACTGTCCCAAGGACGTTTCTATGATGTATAAATAAACGAGAGTTGTGTGCTTGATTGTATTGTGATTGCTGGGTGTTTGTAGAATATACTTTCTACGCCTACCAAGCCTTCTGTTTACAGCTTGGGATTCAAGGTAGCCTATCTGGACGCTGGAAATTGTCTCGTTCGCGTTATCGACTAAGGTGAACTCGTAATAGCTTCAAGCGTACCAAGTGACAAGCGTAACATAGGCATAAAAAATTGGTTAATTCTGTCTTATATTAGCTCATTAATTATTTATACACTGATCCAGATGCCAAGTGATTTGGGTTCTTACATATGCTATCAATGGATTGAATTAACAAATTCCAAATAATCATATATGAAGGAAAGTGATTACGAAGGACACAGTCAAAAGAACAATAACGGTCATGGAAACACTCAGAAATGATATTACCAAGAGAGAGATCAATGTACGATGTAAAGTTATTGATTGAGAGCAATAAGCCATAAAAAAAATCGTTAATTCTTCCCTATATTAGCTCATTAATTATTGATACACTGATTAGGACACTAGGTGATTTGGGTTTTCTACATATGCTATCAATAGATTGAATTAACAAATTCCAAATAATCATACATGAAGGAAAGTGATTACGAAGGACACAGTCAAAGGAACAATAACGGTTTTAAAGGAGATCAAACTACTGAAAAAATTCTGCTATGCTTTAATGATAAAGCTTTACTAACTAATACCACGAAGGTAAGGATACAGTTAGCCAGTATTCATTCATCCATAACTTGTTGATAAATGACAAGAATATTACTTTTCATCATAAACCATCTTCTTGAATACAACAAAACATACTATGATTTTTTTTCACGACTACTATAACATTCAGTGATTACCATACAATCTAAGTTTGCAATGATTTGCGCTATCATTCCCTTGCATAGTTCGATAGTAGAACAACAAGAATATTTCCTTAAAATAAATTAACTGACCACCTTTAATGTGATTTTTAAAAAAAAAAACAAAAAATCACTGAAAAACAACTAACTCGATATCATCTATACAGACACACACGCACATACATAAATTCAATTAATTAATTATTATTGGTTATCAAATAAAAATAAGTAAATATCAATGTTCAATAAATGAAAAATAATTGGAACAAAAAGAAGAAAACAGAAAGAGAGAGTAGCAATAAAAACAATTTGCTTTTAGGTCAATGATTCAAATCAAACTAATGTACAATGAAAATGATATATTGAAAAATGATATTGAAAAAGGAGTTCAATGATTCCTAAGTCCATGGATGTGATATGATTGATTTGATTTGAAGTGATTAATTTCAAACAAGAAACATGTATGTTGGAGATTTTGAAAAATTGAACAAAATAAACAACAAAACAAAACAATTCTATTCAAATTTACGGATAAAACGAAAAGATATCAAAATATATCAATAATATACATCAGATAATTTATCAGGTGAACTAGTCGGAGAAATGTTAGCGGAAAAAAGTTAACGTGATGATGATATGAAATAATTTTCGAAATATGTATCTTTTTTCTCAAGGTCGAGTTTGTTTTGTTTTTTTTTCAACTTCAAATTCAAGTAGTTGTTAACACATCATCTATCAAATTATTATTATTTTTTTGAAATCCATTTCACAGTTTTACCTATAAAATTGTAAAAACTATAGAATTTTTTCAATAAATAACATCTTATGGTTTAGTGGGAACAGGTTACCTGTAGTTTATATGTATATTATCTTATTATTAATAATACTTCAAAAGTTTTAGATGATACTAAGATTTATTTATCATTCAATTTTGAACAGATAAAATTTATTAACACCTAATAAATAAAATATATTTGATAAATTTAACGATCAGTCAAGTTGATAAATTCATGCACATATTCCGAAAACAATAGATTTAATTGATTCTAACGGATAATGAAAGTTGAGATGTATTCTTCAGTATATACTTAGTAAATAACTGAAGTTATATCAGCTGACGCAAAATTTTTAAACCATATTCGATTAACACCAAAGACTAAATTTAAGATGGTATCTTCAAGGTTCTTTAGTAGGAAGCTATGAACAGTAATGGTAAATAACATACCGTTAAGAGTAGAAGATGTTCGTAGGTTACTAGTATTCGATCATAGATGTTTAAGAAGCATTGCTCGTATACCGTGAGACAACCGAGTAAGCAATGCTGTCGTTAGGAAACGAGTTCTAGGTAGGGATGACAAGGATGAAGTAGTGAAACTACATCAGTTGAGGTGGTTGGGACATGTCTTACGTATGCCTAACCACCGAATGCCTCGACGAGCTATGTTTTGAGATGTAGGAGTAGGTTGGAAGAAAGCTAGGGCTGGCCAAAACAAAACATCGGAGAAATCCATGATGTCACTGACAACTGGACTGAGTCATGTTGGTAGATGTAGGCTATCTGGTTGGGGTCCGCGAGACGAAAGTCACCAATGGTTAGAGACCTTGAACGACATGGCTCAGAATCGTTTGCAATGGCGCAAGTGCATCCATTCGTTGTGCTCTCTCAAATCCTAATCTTCTGGATTCGTCAGCACCTCTACCTTTGTCTTTCTAACCTTATCTCACTGAATTATACTTCTTGAATAGTTTCTTCAAACCCTAGTCTTCTCCATTCCCATCAATACCTCTACTATCTTTATCACTATGGGATTTGATTTGACAGTTGCGTCTCTGTGCTAATGTGGTATGGCAACCTGAACTTATATACATACTTATGAAGTTCTACGTTGCAACTGGCTGACTGACTGATTGGACAATAAATCACTCGGGACGCTATCTGAGGTTTGCACTTTAGCGTATATTGACTCAAAATGAAAAATACACCAATCAAAGTACAAAGGATTCTGATTTGGTGGGTTTTAGGATTGTGAGTGCAACGAAATGGCTTGATTACATCTGAGGGGCAGTGAGTACAAACTACTGGACATTAACCAAGACTATCTGGCTATCGATGATTTGTAACGAAAACTACATACATTGTTCCACTAAAAAATGCAATTAATTCCCAATCAATTATTTGACAAAAGGTCAAACTCGGAGTTCTAGTTGAGAAGACGTGACCAGTGGAGTTCAACCCTGTCGGGTGTAGGCAGTAACTACCAAAGACAAATGGGTGAGGTCGCGCAAAACAAAAATCCTTAGATCAATCAGAGTTAGACATTAACACCGTTGGATGCCGGCCCAGTGGTCCGATGGTAAGGCGTTCGCCTACAATGCCAAAGGTCCCGGGTTCGAATCCTGCGAGGAGCAGGAGTCGTGGATGCGCACTGCTGAGGAGTCCCATACTAGGACGAAACGGCCGTCCAGTGCTTCCAGGTTTCTAATGGTGGTCTAACAATGATGATTGATTAATGATTTCAAATGTGTAAAAACGCAAACCTCCAAAACTGTGCCCCAATACAAACTTATTGTATCAAACTATTGTATCTTGTATATATCTTTCATGTACACATTGACCTACAAATAAATGATGACCGCGTCTATGTAATTACCTATAATGATGAACTGTATGTAGAACAAGTCAAATGGATGCATAATTAACATATCCAGTATACGAGTTTATCACCTCAAATTAGGTGAATATATTAGGTTATTAGTGTAATCTATACCACGGTTAATGAAATACAAGGATTAAAGAAATTAAAAATTCAGTTGACCTGCGAAATGCCACTTCTTTTTCCGAAGAAATTACAAATTATGAAAAGTAATTGGTAAACATTATACTAAAATTATAGAGTGATTGTGCAAGTTCTACTATTTCCACAGTTGAAATCAGGAACTGATCTTAACTAGACCATTACTGAAAACTTGGAAGCATTAAAAGGACGTTTTCGCCCTAGTATGGGACGTCTCACTAGTTAGTGACTTTAACTGTGAAAATGGTTCAACTTCGCTGAATCTCTTTAACTAATAACAATCATGTGTTCAATATTGATTAACTTCAAGACGTACTCATGAAGTTCTAGTGAGAAGCCGTCACAGAGCGGTTAAGTGTTCCCGCGAGAAACCGAAGGGCCCAGGTTCGATCCCTAAGTACAGTTTTGTTGATGAGCACTGTTGAGGAGTCACATGCTAGGATGAAATAACCACCCAGTGCTTCCAAGTTATCAATACGGGCTCAACTTAGATAAGTTCGTGATTTAAACTGTGAATATTTAGGTAAAAAAAATTCAAAATTGTACACCTACTCCATTAACTCAGTGATTTAACTTGATCAAAAAGATTATTTAATTCCCTCTTCACTTTAATGCCAATACTACGAATAAAGATTAAGAGAAATAAAATACCTTAGAATAGGTGGATAATACTTTCAAGGCATCATATACATATACATAATGATCAAGTCTTGGTTAGTCACGAAATTAAAACTCACTAAACAGGTAATGCTTTCGAGTTAGTGAACACGCAACAATCAAAAATGCAAAAAGAATATGAAGTACGGAAAAAAAACGAAAAAATCTCATTCTTTTCAATAGGATTAAATTCTTTTTTTTTGACCATGATATGAAGAGATAGATAGAAAAAAAAAGAGGAGGAGGAGGAGGAGTAAGATTGCGACGTTTTTTTTCTAAGCGATTACATACACACGTTCATAATTCAGAACTGATCATTAACAAAGTAGACAGTGTGTACAAACAAAACAATAATAATAATAATGTGATAAACCATCTTAATCACAATGAAATCTATTGCGTCAGTAGAGAACTGTGAACATTTCTAAACGAACTACTTAGAGAGAAGAATACTTAATATTATAGAGATCAAGTACGCAATAATTAATAATTAAGAGAGTGTAGGTTGATCGCATATTTGACTAGACATTATTCATTTTTATACAAAAGTTTCCATTGCTTCCTGTAATGTTTTAAAATAGCTTCAAATCAAATCGAAAGATCCACTATGCACAATTTTGTTCTGATCAATCCACGCTGAGTATACACGAGTATAAAACGAACAATCAAGACTAAACTAAGTTGTATTAACACGGAAAATTATTAAACATAAATAAGATTGATAAGACATACATTTTACAAGACTATAAACTTTCAGATATATTATAATGGACAAAAAGGTGATACATGTACAACAAAGAAAATAATTGATAAGATTCTCATTATTTCAGCACAGTTAGTAGGAATTAATGGACTACTAATTCTTGAATTTGATTACATTTAGATCCCAGATTCTAGCTAACACGTCAATCAACCTGAAAACTAAAACCGAACCATACTTAAAAATCTCAGGAGTAAATCTACTAGGAACCGTTACTCTCTCTTGACTTGGATTTCCTATAGCCTTTGTAATCTCATTAAGAGTCGGAGGACGTACATCAACTTTCGATTCAGTTTAATTGGAAATCAGGGTCACTGAAGTGTGGTTGAAGGCCAGTTAACCTATTCTATCCACTAATTCAATCATCAGGACTGAAAATGAATGATAGTCCCATCTTTCTCCACGACAGTTGAATTCCTTGATAGTGCTGAACAGTTGTCCACTGTTATTTAACGCCGCAACATTTTCCATTTCCATGGCTTTCGTTATCCACCACTGTTCACGATCATTGTGTAGGCCTCTTATTGACACGCGCTTAAGCTAACTTCACCGCTTATCATGTTCGTAGCCAAACGGGATGAGTTTTCGAGCATCTACCAGTTCCGTAGATGCTACTGAGGTCCACTGTTTCTGTCTAATCTTATGATTTACCTTACTGACAGACATCGATACTGTTTCCACAACTTTTTGGATATCATTCCAAGTTGCCTTGGGATTGGGCATTACTTACACGGTTGTCTATTATTCTATTTATTCCTTAAATGTATTCTTAGTTTTGCAAACATTAAGCAGACCTCTGAGGGAGTTCCTCGTTGTCTTTCTTACGTCCAATAAAACGCAGACAAATACGAGCTCAAAACCTGTGCTCCAGAATGAGCAGCAGTCTTTTTTCGAACCTCCTCATCGACGGCTGATTGCGATGTGGTCGAGTCAGATCGAGCGCTGAGTCGATTTTAGGGGTCGCCACGTCAAAAGATGTTTTTCCTTATGTTTAATTTTGATTTAGCCAGGAATAGGCGGTCATAGATACAGCAGACAGTTGCCATTATCTATTCTTAGAGTCGCGACACCATAAGATTCACCTAGGTATCTTTTGGTCTCGCTTAATCTACCTACATGAGCATTAAAGTTACCCGCCAATATTACTACATCAGAGTGCTTAGCTTTCTAAACAACTTTAGGAGGCTTTCCGTAGAATTCACCTTCCACCTGATCCAAGGTGCCGTCAGTGGAACCGTAGGCAGAGACCACGAAGAGGTGACAGCAAGTATCCTTACTGTCACGTATAGTCGCACAGTGCATTGGTGACTAAATACTCAGGGTTTCAGGAGACCAGAGATAATGTTTCATGAACTCGAGACGTTTGCATTAGCAGTGCGAGGTGATAAAGGAATGTGAGAAGGGTTAGTCGTGGAGATAATAGAGTTACTAAGAGGTTTAGTAAGGATTTGATTGTGGGCAAGTTGATCTTGTGTGCTGTTTCGGGTATGAGGGTGGGTGTCACTTGTTGCCTGCCCACATTATAAAAAATATCTCATGACAGACTTGAAAAAGTAGTTGCGTTAGCGTTGGTCTTAGCGACTTAGGAGCGTGACTGCGAAGCTCAGAGGATAACTACTTGAGGCCGGTCGCACACGGCTTTTTTATGAGAGGTTTTGGAAGTGTTAGCTTGGCTCTCCCAATGGCTTTACCGCCGGGGACGGATATCCGTGGGGTAAGGTGAGGTGTATTACATTTTTAGGGTCTACCTTTTCTAACCTTTACCTTTCGCTGTAATAAGGCATCATAGCTTCAGATGCTAGTTTTCCGAGAGAAACACCTTACTACTATCACACCTCTCTACAATCAGCAGCACAACTTCTCCATCAGACTTTAAGCTGATGCTTTTAGTCTTACCGTTTTCCAACCGACTTGTCCGCTTTGGCAAAGCCTAAACGAGCGTTTTCCCCACTGTTAATCAATAACATCACAGGTTATATGTCAAAAAAATAAATTCCTAACTTTTGTAACTAATTACTCAATCAGTCAGTCAGCCAAAAATGCTCAATGTAAAAGACCGGCATTTGTGTAAATATCATCAATTAAAAAAAAATTCCCACATTTTACTTTCATTATTTCATTAACATAAATAAAAATGGTGGAAAATTCTACATGTACCAGTCAATTTTAGGCAAAACAATATATTTATTCATCTGGTCAAATATTCATTGAAAAAGATGATTCAATTAAAACAAAATAAAACAAAGTAGACAAACAAACAAACAAACAGACAAACAATAGATTATGTAAATTATTCCCTAAGAAACTGAAGCAAATTCTCCTGAGTTGAATGTAGGTCAAATTTCATTGTAAGCCGGATATTTTTTGTTGTTGCAGAAACAAAAAATAATCGAGAATAATTTCTGCAATGCAAAGAAGGTTAAACTGAAACTGATGTTTAAGAAAAAAAACATAACAACAATATCTGATAACAAGAACATCGTATAAAAAGAAAAAAACATTGAAAAGTCCACTAATGTATTTATATTTGAGAAAAAACAAAGAAATTCCCCATATATATATATATATATATATATATATATATATACCACCAGTAAAATGATACAAGTTCACTTAAATGAAACTTACCTTAAACAATATATCAGTACACATTGCTTTACCATGCGTGATGATTGGTTCTTGATCTTCACCTCGACCATCCCAACAGTCTAATTCAATACATCTTGAAATGATGACAAGAAATTAAAAAAGAATTGAAAATACTGTATAATACAAGGTAGCTGCCTATAAGTAATTGTATAATAACTAATTAATTAATTGGGAGAAGAAAAAAAAACTGTTATGTAACTGATAAAAATGTCACTGTACAATCAATCCACAAATAATTTACATTTCACTTCATTCTTCAAAGGAGAATCATGTACACACTTACATAAATACGGTGGTCAGTCAGTCAGTTACAACGTAGAACTTCATACATGAGTACATAAGTTCAGGTCGCCATACGGGACCAGCACAAAGACACAACTATCAGTTCAAATCCCATATTGGTAGACATAGTAGAAGTATTAGCAGTAATGGAGATGAAGTTTCAATACTTCATCCATTGATCTGCCATCCTTACCTATTACCCTTTTCCTAACGACTGCATTGCTTACTCGGTTGAGTAAAGGCAATCGAGTTTTCTGTATCCGTGCAGAGATTTCGTCAGTCACCAGGCCATCGGCACTGATGAGACTTCCCAGATACGTGAGGCTGTCTACACGTCCGACTACTTCACTCCCTATCACTAGTTCAGGTGCCGATGCGACGCAGTCTTGAAGCAAAATTTTGCATTACGAGGGGAAAACCGCATCCCCAGCATGCTTGCATTGTTGCTCAAGGTGGTCAAAAAACTGAATTTTGTCAGCGTCTTCACCAAACAGATCTAGAAGGTCTATTCCTGAAAATTCAGACGAGGATAAGGTTATATTTAGGAGCATGTCTATGACAAAATTGAGCAGGAATGGGCAGAGTAGTCAGTCTTGACGGACACCCCTTGAAGTAATTAATTCCGATGACAGCTCGCCATTAGCTCTCACCCGACCACTAGTTTTAGAGTAGAGAGCTTGTATAAGGCTAATGTACTTTTTTGGTACACCTTTTAATGTCAGACACTGCCACAGAACGTCACGATCCACAGAGTCAAATGCCGCTTTAAGGTCGAAAAATACGGAGGTTGTTGTGGAAGTTATAGAATTTAAGGCGATAGAAAGAATGTTATAGTTCGTATCTGTAAGCTCATCCTACAGTCACTTCAGACTATATAAATGAACATACTTTCAGTGGTGTAATCATTCAGCATCTACTTTACGGTACACGTGACATTACACATATCAACATCATCTATAAACAAACCAATGCAAACTTATTGCATTTCTTCGAAGTCATCACTATCAAAAATCATAAACTGAATGAATGAATTCTGAAGGATAAATATTATCATCCTTGAACTGTTATGATGATGACCTCAATATTAAACAGTTAGTTATGTGATAGCTATTTAGTGTTTGCAATTAAACATTCAGTTTTATTGATTCTTTCTACAGTTTTATTTTGGTTTTATTCATTTTACTTACTGATCTGTAGCTTTTATAACAAAACTTTTAACCAATCTCTACTAGCATTGGTACATTTTGTGCTAGAATATCTACAGTATTTAACATATTCCACCGAAGGAACACATTTTATAATGTTAACATATCGTCACATTTTATCAATGAAAACGTTTTCTATATTGTGATGTAATGTGCACTGTTTTAACATGACTAGTACTATTATGTTTTAGTCTTTAAATAACTGAAAAGAACGTGCGAAATAAATGTGTACACACTATCCCACTACACTGTTTGTTCTGGCTTTGTTTAAAATGTATTAATAGAAAAAGTTGTTTGAAATGCCAACATTCATCAAACGTATACACGTATAATATAAATATATAAGTGCAGGTGTGTGTGGTTTTCTGTAAATGATAATTTATTTCAACTATCAATTGTGATAGACAACTTCATTGAACAAGATTGTTAGCGTTTCGCTTTCACATAGTTTGATGCCAAATATCAAAGTTATCTCAGTTATTTTAATAGTTACAAAAAAAGTAATGCATTTAACGGTTTGTCTGAACCATTGTCATTCTAAGTGTTTCCTCACAAAATAGAAATGTACACATTGATAATCGTTTTACAAAAAAAAAGCCAGAAACATGGTTTATGCTAATTAACAGGAAGGTGAATTGCAGACAGACTGCAGTAGTATAAATCATGATAACAGAACATAAATGTACCAAATGAGACAAAATGATTAATTACGGAGATAGGCATTATATAAAAAAAGTAATACAGATTTTAGTTAATTCAGTGTATGTAATAATGAGTTAAACAAAGCAAACAAATAAAGATTAATTCTCGTTTAACTATAATAAGCTAAAATAGTAGTAATTTACGATCTAATAGTTCCGATTACTGGTCAACATATTATATTTTGGCAGTCACAAATGATCCAGTACTTAAACTGGGGATAATGTAACACACTTGGAAGTATTTTATCGTAATCAGAATTAGATATCTGACGACGTAGAAAGTAATCAACATTTTATATATATGTAAATATCACATTTATGTTCATGCATATACTGTTCAACTGAAAGTTTCTATGTCGGAAAAAAGGGGTAGTAAAAACTGCTGAATTTCACTGAGATCATATACCGATCTACGATAGTGTTATGCTCATCAACTAATAAGCTTGAAACTATTACGAGTTCCCCGAAGTCGGTAAACGAGAACGAAGACAAATGATCCAGTAACACGATAGGCAGCTCTAATTCGAGCGTTCCAAGGCCCTACTAAGTGGAGGAAGAAGTCTTGATAGGATGCAGAAAGTGTATTCTACAAGCACCCAGAAAATCGCGGTTCACAAGCACATAGATTGAGTTTATTTATACATGATAGAAACGTCCTTGGAAGAGCCACAAAGTAACGTACTAAAATACTACACCAGCCAATAATAGTCAAGGATTTTTCGGGTGGGAAATGTAATCTCAAGATCACCTGATCAGCCCATGCTCTAAAACATAAAATCCAAAATTAGGAACTTTATCAAGTTAGTTCTTGGGATTTTACGTCCCCAACAGATAAAGACTGGGACTACTGGACGGCAGTTTCGTCCTAGTATAGAACTCTGAAGCAGTGCGTATCGACGACAAAAAAAATCCGTTAATGATCGCAACAAAAGATTATTTTATTAAAAAGTCAACAAATACGTTCAATAACATTAGAAAAATCAAGTAATGCTGAGGGAATACAAAATAAAGTATAGAAAAGTGAGTATAGTTATTCAAAAAACGTCATTATTGATGGATAGGATAAAAAAAGAAGGAGATTCTGTGTATATAAATCGAAAATATAATCAACTTCGACTATTATAAATGAGAGGATAGTTGGAGATAACATCATTGATACAAAAAGTTAGATATTTAGGTATTAGGCGTAAATGTATCTACCTCACCATTAATACATTGAAAACACACATAAACAAAGACTTGAGTTATTTATTTATTTTAGAAAAAATAAGACAATGTACGATGATTATATCGTAAGTGACGGGTGAAACAAAATAATGTTCAAGTTTATTTCTATCAATTAGTTTATGAAAATTAGTATAACCAACTATACAAAAACATTGAAAAAACATTCTAGTATGATAATTATAACTGAAAAATAAGCAAATCACACATGCGACAGCATAGGGTTTGTTATCTGTTAGCAATCCTTTCACAGATTTCAACCCGAATATTATAACGTTAGATTTAACATTCAGAAAACAACAATAGTTCTTTTGAAGTGATGTCCTATACTTTCTCATTGAGTTGAATGAAATATCAAAGTCACCCTGGGTACTAAAGAAATATGGACGAGTTAAGTGACCCAAAAATTATTCAAACATTCGTAAAATCAATAAGGTGGGTTCTATCTTGGAATTTTATTTCATCTAAAAAGCTTTAAGTGATTGCATGTAGTACACTAATATACTGTATCAATGTATAGCTCAAGAAGAAAATTTACCCGCAACTACAATTCCAATCAAGCAAATAATCAAAGATGAGCTATCGCTTTGCCGAAAAGTATCGAAAAATATTAGATACATTGAGAAAATGACATTAGATTGGGACAAATTCACAAAACACGATTCAACGCTCACTGCATTTTAAGTGGCCTGTTATGAATGATTGGATTTTCGACGGCATTTCTTTACCAGAATGCAGACGGACTAACAAAGTATGCAAAGGTTTATGAGTAAAAGATTTCAAAAGATCTGATTTGAAACTAAGAAACTTGGTGGCCAGAAAGCACTGATCCAGTGAAAGCAGCAAACTCATATAGCAAAAGATGAAAGGTTCTGCAGCTCATGTGAACAAACAGTGGTATAAGGCTGATGCTGGATTAACAATTTGGAAATTTAGTGCGTTGCTGTTGGGGATGTTAGATCCCCAAAATCCGCTTGATAAATGCCTTATTTTGGATTTCACGTTCGCTAGCATGGGCTGATCAGTTGACCTTCAGATTTCATTTCCCACCACGAAAATCCATGGCTGTGATTGGCTGCTGTGTATTTTAGTGTGCTATTTTCTTAACTGTCCCAAGGACGTTTCTATGATGTATAAATAAACGAGAGTTGTAGGCTTGATTGTATTGTGATTGCTGGGTGTTTGTAGAATATACTTTCTACGTTTATCAAGTCTTCTGTTTACAGCTTGGGATTCAAGGTAGCCTATCTGGACGCTTGTAATTGTCTCGTTCGCATTTATCGACTAAGGTGAACTCGTATTAGCTTCAAGCGTACCTAGTGACGAACCTAACAGTTGCTAAAATAAACCTGATAACAACAATTTCGCCAATCATACGAAGCAATCTAAAGTGATCAACAGCTTTTAGATTCCCACACAAGTTTTCTAAAAGGTTAAGTGTTAATTGGATTGAATAATAATGACTAAATGAAATAGACACCAAGTAAGAAAAACTACTATAGACCGATACTGGCCTAAGTTTTCTTTGGATTTTTGAAGCTATTAACACAAGCAACTACATATTGATTAGTTAGGTATTATTGATAAGTGAGCTAGTTAATTAACGGATAATAACAAAATGAGGGTACAGTCAGGTTCATCATTTGGATCAAGATCCCATTATACTGACTGATAAATGATTAACTGATAGCAGACTTATTAACTTTCGAAAACACCAATGAAACTACCTGTATCGAATAGTTACTGTGCAAAGTGAACAGAATGATTTACGTTACTTTTTTTTTAATCTTTAACATGAAATAACGCTTTTTATTCAAAGAATAAAGTAACCGCGTCAACTCAAATCGTATGTTATAAATTAGATTATGATAAAAGAAAAAAACAACCAGCTCAGAGAACGAAACACCACCACAATTTGTATTCTTTTTAACAATGAAAACAATAACAAGAAATATTCACTATTTACAATGTATGAATTGTAAGTGAAAACAATAGACACAGGAAGGAAGGAAGTAAGAAAAGATTGAATAGTGAATAAAATAATATAATGTGAACTGATGATAAGTTGAGAATGTAATTCCGTTCGCATAGTTTTATGACGATATGCTTACACAACTGAAAGAAGTACGACGATTGTATACATGTCGGTAAATGTGAAAGTTAAATTCATCAAAACTTCATTCGTATCAGTTCATAAAATGTAATGATGTTAATTGCAAAAAAAAATTAAAACCTAATACTCTATGGGTCATAACATACGCTAAGTTTTTATAGGAAACAAAAGTCAGCAAAAATTACTTAAAATTACAAAAACCCATTGAATGAATGTAGGCAGTAACTAACGAAGAAAATAGGTGAGGTTGCGCAAAATTTTACATTAGTTACAGTTAGATATTAACGTCGTGGGATGCCTGCTCAGTGGTCCAGAGATTAAGCGTTCGCTCGCAAGTTCCAGACCTGCGAGTAGCGGAAGTCATGGGTGTGCACAGCTGATGAGTCTCATACCAGGATAAAACGGTGATCCAGTGCTTCCAAATTTCTGTTTGAAATGCTTGTCACATGATATGCTTGAATGCTATTACGAGTTCACTTTACTCGGTAAACGGAACGAAAGCAACGATACAGTGACACGATAGGTTATTCTAATCCGTTTCTTCCCGGTCCGGCTAACTAGAACCAGAAGTCTTGATAAGGCGTAGAAAGTGTATTCTACAAGCACCCAGAAAATACGAAGTTTGACAAGCATACAAATCCAGCTTATTTATACAGTGATAGAAACACTCATTTGAGAGTACACAAATAATCCATCAACCAATGACAGTTAAGGATTTTCCGAGTGGGATCTGTGAGCTGAAGGTCAACTAGCGTGAAAACATGGAAATTCAAAATTTCACAATAAAATTACAAAATTATGAGCTTTTCCAAGTGAGTTCTGGGGACGGTTTAACAAAGACTGATTCACAATTTCAATGTAAACAAGCCTAATTCACATCAATATTACGATTGCAATCCAAAATACATGTCTTATTGTTGTATTTTAGCAGTGTAACTTATGAAACAGTATTTCGATGCATTGAAACCATTGAATAGTATTTAACTAGTCGTTACAAGAAATCAATAGCTACAAATCAAATAAAACAATGTACATTTTGCTTAGTAATGTAATGTTGATAACAATTCGTTAAAAATAAGACAAAAAAAGTGAACTTACCGACAACCAGCTAACAGTACTTGTCGATACATTTCAACTGATGATTTACCACCGAATTGTCGTCCAATTAAATATGTATTATGTGATGAATTAATATAATAATGACTAAGTGGTTGATCCATATCTTGATAAATATCTAATTTATCCAAAAATACACATGCATTATCATCCGACATTAAATAACGATAAAAGCATTCAATGGATATTTCGTCTAAAGAAGGAGAAGGAAGAGGAGAGGAAGAAGAAAGAAATTCACAATACACGAGAGAGAGAGAGAGTGGGATTATTATTGTTATTATTATTATAGCAGAGAAACCAATGATCGTTTTCTATTGAAGCAAACAAATTCACAAGACCAATAATAGTATTACGTCATACACTTTTGTTTGTATAATAATACCAGGATGGGAAAAAAAACAAGCTGGAAATTAGCATTATGATTTTCATCTTAATAACAATATATATATATATATAAAATAAATTTATCAACAGATTCGTTTGAAGAAAAGAAAAGAAAACAAGCAATCCAATATGATGACGTTTTGAAGGAAACAGTTTTGTTTTGTGAAAAATCAGTTGAGAGTGAGAGAGAGAGTTTCATGATGATAAGACTAGGTTTACTGATTAGTATTGTGCCGCTTACAAACTGATGTTTATTTTAAATATTACATTTCACAGTACATGCAATATCAGTGAATAAATCAATCCACACGAAGAATATATAAATATTTACATATATACATATATCAATAATAATAATAATATTACGAAACATTGATTAAAGCTGATGAATTGATTATTCAACATTTGTGCATGACACAAATAAATTTATTGATCATTGAAAAACAGTATCAGGTGAAATGTGTCAATTGAATCATTGATAAACAATTTATTGACTACTAATCATTCAATAATGAATAACAGTCAACCTTATTTGAAAGTGTTTATAAAGTAGACCGTGTAAAAATGTATGATTATGTTGAAATTAATCATACATGACAAATATAGTCATATCACCGAGTGGTATTTATTTGATGTTAATTTTTAGACGGTTAGATAGACTACCTAGAGTTAATCTTATCTGCCTACTTACATATGAGTGTTATCTCACAATGAAGCCATAGGCCGCCGAGCAGTATTCCACAACCTACTCTGTCCTAGGCTTTCATTTCCAGTTCTGTACCATTTCTGTTCATTCTTCTCACGTGTGTCTCAATTTCTCAGCGTGATGTGTTCCTTGACCTTCCTCTTTTCCTTTGACCGTAACGATTCCAAGTGAGGACTTGTGACGCAGTTAGGTGCTTTTCGCAGTGTGTGTCCCAGACACTTCCAAAGCTTCTTCCTTATTTCCTCCTCCACTGGAATCTGGTTTGTTCTCTCCCAAAGTGGGTTGCTGCTGATGATGTGTGGCCAACGAATCCGAATTATTTCGCGTAGAAAACTGTTCATAAATACTTGTACCTTCTGGATGATGGCTTTGGTAGTTTTCGAAGTTACCGCTCCATACAGTAGAACTGTCTTGACATTTATATTGAAAATTCTGATTTTGTGTTGATTGATATTTGTTTGGAGTTGCAGATATTTTTCAGTTGTAGAAATGCAGCCATTGCTTTGCCAGTCAGCGCCCTCACATCTGCATCGGATCAACCTTGATTGTCAGCGATGCTATCCAGATATGTAAAGGTGTTAACGTCCTCCAAGGCATCTCGATCAATAGTGATTTGGTTGGAGCATGTTGTGTTGCATCGCATAATCTTGCTTTTCCCTTTATGTATGTTGAGACCTGCTGCTGCAGAGGCTCTACTGCTACACTGGTCATCTTCTCTTGCATTTGTTGTTGCGTGTGCCAGATCATCTGCGAAGTCCAAATCGTCCAACTCTAGAGTTAATCGTTGAACGTTAAATCAGTTGATGAAATTCTGAACCTTCATTGACTGAGATGAATATAATTTATATGATGCATATCCAAAAGCCTCAATGTACCATACTGTCTGGTATACGATCACTGTGTTGAAATTGTACGATTGATAATGAAGTTAGTCACTGAAATCATCCGCCGTAGAACATAAATGTGGCGCCGCGTACTAGCTGTTTCAAGACACTCAGTGAAACCGACTACAAAAGAAAAATTATGATCACTTTTTATATTTAAATAAATTTGAAGTAAAGAATCATTTCACAATTTTCACTTCGTTTATTTTTTTCAAAGTATATTCTAAACAGTTCATAGTTATCGTTACTATGTACTACTATACCCATTCTCAATGTGCTGATTAGCCATGGTAAGAACGTGATTAGAACTGTAATCTGGCTACCTAAAATGATTGAACAAGATCCATTATAAATAAAAACAAGACAATGATTCAAAGCATTAAAATAATTTTCTTTTCATACTTACCAGTATTTTTAAATTCTTCTTGTGTTTCATAATTTTCTTGAATATACTTAATCGTTTGTTTGTTAGCAAATGGATAGAGAATTTCATTTAAACGAGGATCACGTTGAGTCTATGAGAATAAAATCAAATAAAATAAAATGATAAAAGAATCATGCATCATTTATCGTTGCCAACATTAAAACCACTGGATAGAGATAATGCTCATTTAAGTAAATTATCTGTGTAACTTGCGAAAAAACACCTGGCTCTCATGCACTGTTTCACTAATGGTAACACACCGTATTGAATGTGTATTTCAGTTTAAATAACTACTGAAAATAATAAATCTCTTCATAGCAATAAAACATTAACTAGTTAATTGCACTTCTCAAACAAAACTCTGAACAAATGATATTTTTCAAGCGCTGTAAATCGGAAAAAAATAACCTAGTTAGCTGCTACCAAACACTATACAATGTTCGAATAACATACAGTTATAGTTTGACAATGCATGGGTCTACCTCTTAGTAACTTGATTTGGCTTTTAAAGAAACCAGAGTCAACTATATTGAAATTTCATGTATCAAGTACAGTATGAGACGATAAAATGTCACATGTGTAAGACTATTTAATAAATGTTTCCTGATCGACATTAATCTCAGCTAATCATTCTTTTTTTTGTTTCGAAAAAAGCTTACTTTAATAATTACTTTCAAGTTAAATCTATGCAAAACTGAAATTTCATATACATGTATTATTGAGAATTATTTATCATAGCCAAAATATATATGATATTGGATAAAATTAATATTATTGGCCTATTTCTTGAGGCTAATAATTATGGTTTCATAATTAGAGTTGGGTTACACAAAAAATATCAATCGATGTTTTTCGGTGAATAATGAAAACAGAAATGAATATGGAGTAATTAAAAGACTATATGTGTCGGGATTGATGACAATGAGACTCAGAAATATTTACTTTTCATTATCTATACGTTAAACATCCTCTTGTATCGATTTACACCTTTTTCTCATTTATCGTAATATTTATTGTTGTTGTTTTTACTGTCATTACATGTCTGTGCGAAGTACAACAACTGGAATGTAAACATGTTTATGTCAGGTCTGTTTCAAATATACCCATGTATGTTTTGAATTTGCTTGGACAGTTATTCTTTGTGTGACCATTTCTCTCTAATACTACCCATTTACCAGTTTTATTTTACTTGGTTATTCATTCTCGTGACGATATTCAAAACAATATCTATGTCAAAAACGTATATATCCCATGAACACAAAAAACACTATAAACTTAAAATTAATATTGGTAATAACAAATTCCCTATCATTGACAAAATATCACTCTGTATAATTGCAGATGCTGGCAGTTGTCAATACACACGTTACCTCTAAGTTAAAACCTACTAGTTTAATCTACAAAAAATAGTTGACCAGCAACAGTTGTGTATATATTTTTCATCTAACTAATATGAAGTAAAGTTGTTTTTCAAAACTACTACTACAATTACGTCATGATAATGATTCACCAATGATGTTATGTAAGCAAATAATCTAATCGTTTTTTGATGATCAAATTGTAGTAGGCAAATATTTTTTACCTAATAAGAACTATATTAATTGATTGGTAATCGTAAACAACAAAAGCAGGAGGTATACATATATTGATTAATACAGATATAACAGCATATTGTGTCGTAATAATCCTTTAATCCTAATTGAGTTAGATCAATTGAACTACAACATATGTAACAAATAGTCGAAATGACCTATTACGGTGATGAACTTTTAGAACATTTTATTAGGTTAAAGTTAGTCGACAGAATGCGTAGAAATAGATTTAATCAAAGCTGCCATTCAGTTGAATAATGTGTCCCTGTAATCTAGCAAAAAATTATAGCTCTGTGTGAAATTTAAACATGGATATTACCAGTGCGCTATTTAACAAGCAACAACAAAGAACAATACCAATGTAAATCAATATTAGAAAATTGATATCCCCTGTGAAATTCGAACCTGTGTCACACAGATTCACAATCTGGAAGCATCAGTTCCCTCGAGACTGTAGATAGACCTTCATGATGAGAGCTAATTAGTATGAAATTTACGTCAAATAAGGTTCTTTTTTATCAACCACCTCCTACCATCTATCATCTATCTTGACATAGTACACTCGATACTGAATTATTTAGACTAGATCGACAGAATTTAATCAGTAAGTAAAAGACTTAAACAAACACACTAATTCAACACTACTCAGTGATCAATCAATGTTTAATTTAAAAAAATGAAAATTATTTCCTGTTTAAAACAGAGATTACATAAAATAATAGTAATGTTTTTTATTCATTATTGGAAAATAAATCATATAGATTATCGATTCACATCAACTTACTTCATTAAGAAACTCAATCATTTTATCTGCATGTATATGACTTTTGCCTTTGGATCTGGCGAGATAAAACAACAAAAAATATGGTATGAACTATGGATGAAGTCGAATAGACTACATCAATATTCAGTAGAAGTAAGCATACCGCATCTCTAGTCACATATTCATTATTATTTGTTAAAGCATCAATGAAAGTGAAAGTGTATCAATAATAATAATAATAATAATATTAATGTTGACAATAATCCGGAACTCCAAATAACTGTCAATCAACACAAAAATCAGGATTCTCAATACAAATATCAAAACAGTTCTAATTCGAAAACTACCAGAGCCATCATCAAGAAGATACAGGTATTGATTGACAGTTGCCTACGCAAAATACTTCGGATTCGTTGGCCAGACACTATCAGCAACAACCTACTGTGGGAGGGGACAAACCAGATTCCAGTGGATGAGGAAATCAGGAAGAAGCGGTGGAAGTGAATAGAACACATAGAAAAGCACTAAACTGAGTCACAATACTTGATTTCACTTGGAACCGTTACGGTCAAAGGAAAAGAGCAAGGCCAAGGAACACATTACGCCGAGAAATGGGGACAGACATGAGAAGAATGAACAAAAATTGGAAAGAACTTGAAAGGGAAGCTCAGGGCAGAGTAGGTTGTAGAATACTGTTCGGCGGCCTATGGCGCCATTGTGGGGTAACAGACGAAAGTAAGTACTTTGAAATAAAAATTCTATTGATTGGCAATATACTTCAAAGATGAATTTTCTAGACGAATGATAGTTTAAATTTACAATCTAGCCGAAACTAGCCGTTAATCAGTCAGTCATAAATAGTTCCGGGTGTAGTATAAATTTCTACCGACTGAAGTTGTCACGGTTACAATTTTTTTTTTGAAAAAAAAACAATGCAAAAACACTAGAAAAAATCAACAATGTAGAATTAAATAATAAAATTAACTGAAGTGAAAATCAACCTATAAAAAGGTTAATCAACACAATATGAGAATATTTATCATGGAATATAAGGAACTGTCTATTATTGTTTCTATAGAGATTGATACTATTGAATAACTTGAGCATACTTTTATATTTTAAGTAATTTAAAATAGCCAATTTTTATGAAAATTAAACATAAGTTGTATTTTTATTAACTTGGTTTATTTTCTATGAAATATCATAAAAAAATGTTCACCACTACTAATCCTAAAAAATAAGGAAACAACTGGATAATTTTGTTTTTTTTTTGGAGAAATAGAGGAAATGGTTTATGGTAGAAATGAAGAGTTGATTTTGTAGATTAGATGAGAGTTGCACTCAACAAAAAAATTCATAATCTGTTGTAATACGGTATTACAAAGTAACTGGGCTTTTGTCAATTTGCGTCACCTATGGCGTAGGCGAAATATCTGTTTGCTGACCAAAGGTCGAGTCTACTGCGCAGTAGTTCTCTACGTTCTCCTATAAAGAGGCGAAAGATGCCCGGTAAGAGTAGATGTTCGTAGGTTACTAGTATTCGATCATAGATGTTTAAGAAGCATTGCTCGTATATCATGGGACAACCGAGTAAGCAATGCTGTCGTTAGGAAACGAGTGCTAGGTAAGGATGGCAGATCAATAGATGAAGTAGTGAAACTTCATCAGTTGAGGTGGTTGGGACATGTGTTACGAATGCCTAACCACCGACTGCCTCGACAGGCGATGTAGGTAGGAATAGGTAGGTAGGTAGGAGTAGGTTGGAAGAAAGCTAGGGCTGGCCAAAACAAAACATGGTAGAAATCCATGAAGTCACTGACAAGTGGACTGAATTATGCTGTTAGATATAGGCTACCTGGTTAGGTTCCGCGAGACGAAAGTCAACGGACGAATAGAGTGTTTTAGGTAACTACGATACAAATCAGGCGAACACAGAGTTATCACAAATGTTCTGAAGCATGAAAGACAATCACCTGTAAACAACTTGAACTCATGTCTGTTTAACCATTAATCAGTGAAATATGAAATCACCAATTATTAACATATAATAAAATTTTACAATCTTAACAATAATTATTCTAGGCATTGATAGGGCAAGTAAGGAGTATTTAGTTAGCTCAATTTCTTTTCATCAATGATGAATGATTGATCAAAACATATTTGATCAATAGTCCATCATGATAACATATTCATTGACTGTTCATGAATCAATAGAATTTTGAGTAATAATCAAGCATATGAAAAGATAATTCATAAATGAATGAAGAATATTCTTTACAATAAATTCTCTTCAATTTCTACAATTATATTATCCAAAAAATAATACTGTGAAAAATGATCAGGTTTAAAGCAAAATATTTCATTACGATTATGAAATAAAATAAAATGGTTAATAACTAATTATACAGAGTGAATGTGAAATTATAAGATCAATGATCACATTAAATAAGTGTCCTATAGTGGTGAGAGAAATAAGAAAATAGAATTATCAATTCGATCAAATGTTTGATAGAAGATAAGATTGTGTGTAAAGTTATGCAAATATTCAATAAGAAATAATCAAATGAAGTGAGTGCAAAGTAAACTAGTTATGTGTTCAAGAGATTAATAGTAATGTTGAACCAATAATACTCACAATAATATTCCAAATAAATGTGAATAACGATAACAAAGCCAATTACATTTGACTGAAAAAGGTTATATGTATATTAGTAAAATTGGGTCATTCTATGGCTACAATTTGGATGTGGAACTGGTCACGGTAAGAGAATAGATAGAAAATATTTCTTTTGCACACATAGCTCTGGCAATTTAGTCCGAACGGCTATTGATTCTGCCTATTTCAAGAAGTTTGAGTCAAGTAGATTTTAGCAAAAAAATTACCAACCCAATAAGTTATTGAGAAAGTTTTATCTAGACTGGCGCTATGATCAGTTTTGCACTAGATGAGCCAGTATTCAGCTGTTCACTATTTTCACTTAACCTTTGCTTAAGCACGCTGAGAGGTGTTCATAAGCACTAAAATGTGAATTCCTAGAATTTCGACTAATATAATTTGCTCCACAAGGGTAGTCGAATCGATAAATACAAAACGAAGCGCCCATTTTAAGTAACTCATCATTTATATTCGATGTCCACATTGAGCGCTCAGAAAACACTAGTCTCAGCTTACTGGCAATGGATGTTATCTCTAGGCCAATAGTCTACTGATTGCATTACCTATAATCTGTAAGCACATGAACAGGAGTTTCTTATTCACCATTTGTATTTTGCATATTCTAACCTTCGTGATCATATATTTGTTCACAAACTTTCCAGGGTATCTATTTACTGTGAGCGAATTACGCAAGGTGTTTAGCTCTTTCTGAAATATATATTTATAGAACAAACAGTACGTCATTGATAACTAAGAGTTTTCATCAGGAATTTTTGTACTGTACAAGTACAGCGCTACGAAAAAGTGTATTACCCTATGCAAGTACTTTACCAGATGAAATCTTTCGAATTGATCCATCAAATCTTTTCATTAAAAGAACCTACACAAGATGTACTTCAATAAACTGTCCAAGAACATCTAATTGTAATGTACTTTCGTTCACAAAGAATGAATTCCATTAATTTTCCGTATTGAATAACATATGCAATAAGTCCAATGTTATTTGAAACGAAAAAAACTATTCATCAACCGAAAGTATGATATAACAGTTTACAGTGAAATGAAACGAATTACTTTCAAAAAAAAAAAAGAAAATGTCTTGGTTTTAAACGTAAAAAGATAAAACAGTACAAAGGATGATCACGTTTACGTAGAAAACCATAAGATACAGAGTTATATTATCACTGGATTCAACATGCAATAATTCACACAGAATACTTGTACTTGATTGATTTAAACTATTCTAATATACATATTTACTATGCAACATAACAACAATATAAGTAAGTAATCGAGAATTATTATATTCAAAAAATATTTCTTTTTCTGAAAAAAAAACCATTGAACATTGAAAAACAGACAAAACAAAATAAATCTATTTCATTACCCATTTACCACATCATCATCATCATAGAGACAGACTTACAGAGATTTAAATAAATCTTCAATATCTGTACGAGGACATATTTTATGATATAATTCATAGAATTTTTCAAATGGAAATTCATTCGGATCAATATCATCGTTCTAATTTGTTGTTTTTTTACAGAGAAAAAAATAGAAAGACGACAAATGATGCATAATAATAACGATAATGATAATAATTATCACTAATAATGTTAATAATTTTTATTTTAATAAAAAAAAAACAAGTAAATTTTTTATATTAGTAGTAGTAGTATACCTTACCTTTCCATGAGGTAAATTTAAATCTTTTAAACTTTGATAAACAATACGTTCATTACGACCTGAGGCAAATGTTTTCATAATTACACGTACAGGTATACGATTACGTGCATTCAAAGTGAGTGTTAGCCGTAGCCAGCTAAAATAAAATAAAAACAAAACAAGAAACTGTTAGTTTTTTTCTGTTTCAATAAATAAATGCGAAATTCGAAATTGGAAAATAAGAATAGATAATTATTTACAATTATTATTTTCTTTTTTTTATATATTAAACATCCTACTCGTTTATAATGTCAGTACAATAAGTTTTTCATAATGTCACTTAGTAGTGAAAGATTTTCTTTTTAAAATGATTTTACTCTATGCTTACGAATTATCAACTTCTTTACGTGGCTTGTGTTACTCAATACTACTACTTTGAGTAAAATAGATGGCAGTCAAATATCTTGGGAACGTTAAATCCCCAGAACTCATTTGGAAAAGGTCCTAATTTTGGATTTTTTATGTTTTCGAGCATAAGTTGAATAGTTGACGTTGAGACTACGTTTCCCAATTGGGAAATCCTTGACTGTCATTGGTTTGATGTGTTATTTTATTAAGCTGTTTTTGTGGCTCTCCCAAGGATGTTTATATCATGTATAATTAAACTCGATTTGTGTGCTAATGTACCTCGAACCTCATATTTTCTGAGTGCATGTAGAATACACTTCCCACGCCTTATCAAGACTTTGGATATAGTTACCAGGGCTGGGGACAAACGGATCAGAATAGTAAACAAATCTTGTGCTCAGGTTCATGACTTTTTATCAGTGTGTACCAATGAAAGTATTTGTTCGCAATTATCGAGTAAACAACGTTGTAGTTAGATGCAAGATATTAGGTGAAGAAGACGAACTATTTGGTGATGAAACTTCAGAAATTAAGATGGTTACTAAATATAATAAGCATACTGAACCAATGTCTAGCTCAACCCGCGGTGTTTATTAGAGTGAAAGGATACTAGAAGAAAGTTGGTGACAGGTAACATGAGTTTGCAAAGTCATTGACTGTTGAACACAACTGCATTGGTAATAACATACTACCATATCAAGATTATTTCATGGTCATCTTGACCAATGATGACATAGCATGGAATCAATCACAGCACTCCAGTATCATTCATCATTTGTGTTCCTTAAAGTCCAGAGTTTTAAAATCACTTTAGACCTTTTATTTCACGAATTAATTTAATCTTCTGTAATCATATTGTTGATATCTAATGTTTTCTGCTACCACTGATACAGTTACTGCATCCAGTAGTCTAGTATTTGTCTCGGTAAATTTATCGCGCTGTAATGAAATCAGATGATAACCTAAATTGATGCATATATGTGTCAGGTTTTAGATAATTTATGATTGACTAACTGACTGACCACCAATCAAATTGCGAAGAACCGCCAAGTTATACAATGAATGGAAATCCTATGAATTATAATTTATCTTGATTTTTCCAACCTCAAGAGAATGAAATAGTTAAAATTTCACCCTATTTATCATTTAGTCTATTTTAAAGTATTTAAATTACGAAACTATTGACGGAATTCGAAAAATATATTTTATTGTATAAAATCTATGTGCAAATATATATTTCTTTTTTTAAATTAAATCAAATCAAGAGATTTGCCACTAATTCATTTTTATGTAAATAATTTTTCCCGAATCCTCAAATTTTTAAATAAATGCATTAAAAACTGTTAAGGAAAAAGTATCAACCATATATATATATATATATATATATATATATATATATATATATATATATATATATAGTTAACTCAATCAAATCTACCAGATAAATAAAAACAAGAAATGTGTCAGCAATCTAGTGTACACATTCTAGGTTACAATGAATGAATGACCTAGTATAATCAAAATACAATATAAGTTTCAATTTGTTCTTTAAAAGAGATTAAAAATATATAAAACATTTTAAGAAACAAACCTAACTACGAATCTATGAGCCTAAAACAGTATTAGCGAATGAAAAATTAAGGACACTAAAAACAGTAGTAGTTGTATATACTGCTGTAACTAAATTGTTCCATATTCATTTAGCGAAACTGTTCAAACTATAATATTCTAACAATGCATATATAAGTTAATCGACTATGTAGGACAGCATTCAAAGACAATTAACGACACTGATCTATTTGCATTACGGGGTTGTGAAGATTGTTAAGTTACACATTTTTGAAACCATGAATCGATCAATGTTAGACCACCATTAGAAACCTGGAAGCACTAGACGGCCGTTTCGTCCTGGTATGGGACTCCTCAGTAGTGCACATCCACGACTCCTGCACCCCACAGGATTCGAACCCAGGACTTTCGGTATTGAGCGCGAACGCCCTAACCGTTAGACCACTGAGCCGGTATCCAACGGTGTTGTCTTAAATTGAATAGGCAGTGAGGAATGGATGAATAGTTCACAATATTCAAGTATTCAACAGTTGATTTCAATCTAATTCAATTTTATTTGGTTTGATCAGTCAAGCATTGAAAAAAGTTTTTATACGATATAAAACAGTTGAAAACAGAGCACATGAAGTTACAGATATGTACCGATATAAATATTTAAGTTAATCAGCTATAATAAAATATAGAGTTTAGCATAAATATTGATTGATTCTAGTTATCGTATCATATTAGCATGATGAAATGAAATCAGCGAAAAAAAATCAATTGCAAAGCTTTTAAACTAATTTAGTAGTAATGATTATAGGAACGACTACACATTGAGAAGATGAGAGAGATAAGAAGTGAAGAGTTATGGAAGACGGAATACTGGAACTCATAATGTAGAGAAAGGAGAAAGAGTGAATGAATTAGCTGAACTGTAGTTGGTTATAAAATATACCAGCAATCAATGTGCGTTAACACTGATCTGGATTATCACGTGAACCGCCCAATCGGGTGAATGTTTATCTATCAACACGACTCAGGTCAGTTAGTCAATGACTTCTCAAAATGAAGTTAGGTTTTCATTTGACAAACTTATAGTCTGTCAACCAACTTCAACAGCAGCAAATTTAGCTAATGAAGACATTTGTTGTAGAGGCAACCATTACACAGCTCATAACCATCTCAGTCGATAAGGAATCCACTAACCCATCCAGGATGTTGTTTTTCTAACCAGTATTTCATATCACAATAGCCAGTGATTATTAAGCTACTAAGTCCATATAAAAACAAAACATTAAGGAAAAAAATATTTCACTAAAAAATTAATTAATTTAATTTAATTATTATTATTATGTTATCGAATAGAAATTGTGTAAATTGTAAATAACTTACTGTTTTCTCAATTGAGTCATAGGGCATACATTAGCTGCTTTTGTATTATGTGTTAAACTTCGCAAAGATTGTATCCAAAACTAAAAAGATATTGAATAAAATTTTATTATAATTATTATTAATTTTTTTTCAAATTATCTAAAAAAATTTTTATTAAATGAACCATTGAAAATAGAGCAATATATAAACAAAGTCAATATTGACTGTAGTGGAGAAAAAATCATTATTTTTTCGAAGATGGAAACTAGCGAATCAATTATAATGATAATAAGGAGATATCAGTCAGTAAGTTACAACACAGAACTTCGTACATAAGTACAGCAATTCAAGTTTCAATAGCACATTAGCACAGAGATGTAATTGTCAATTCAAATATCATAGTAGTAGAGGTAATAAACGTATTAGCAGATAACGGAAAGATTAGGGTTAGAACATACTATTCACGAAGTACATTATAGTGAAATAAATTTAAAAAGAAAATGATGAAGGTGATGAGGATTTCAGAAGATTAGGATTTGAGAGAAAACAGAGTGGATTCACCTGCGACATTGCAAACGATTTTGAACCATTTCATTCAAGGTCTCTAACCATCGATTACTATTGTCTCACGGATCCCAACAAGATAGTCAACATCTATCGACATGACTCAGTCCACTTGTCAGTGATTTCATGGATTTGTGCCACGTTTTGGCCTGGTCGCCCCTAGCTTTCTTTCAACCTATTCCTACACCACAAAACATAGCTCGACGAAGCAGTCGGCGGTTAGGCATACGTAACACATGTCCCAACCACCTCAACTGATGAAGTCTCAATACTTCATCTATTAATCTGCCATCTCTACCTAGTACTCGTTTCCTAACGACATCATTGCTTACTCGGTTATCATCTCGCGGACCCTAACCAAGGTAGCCTACATCTACCAAAATGACTCAGTCCACTTGCTGTTGTAGCTCTTCTAAATTTTCAATAAAATGAATGGATTTGTAGAGACTACAGAATTTTTATGGTTTGAATTATGGACTGTTCTTAGTCAAACCAACATGAGGAAAAACCTGGAAGTAGTGGGTGGCCGCTTCGTCCTTTTGAAGTGACTTATCACCTAATCGAGAGGTTTACGCGATAATCTCTATTAGTGGTTACACTCATTGATTGATGGTATAGTTCGAAACCAACTACGGTTCAGTTAATTCATTCACTCGTTATATCCCTTTACACTTAGTGTTCCAGTATTCCTTCTTCCATAACTCTTCACTTCTTATCTCTCTATTATATTCTCAATATCTAATCATTCTCATAATCATTACTCTTAAATTAGTCTAAAAGCTTTGCAACTGATTTTTTCTACTGATTTCATTTCATCATGTTCACATATAATAAAGTTGATTTGAATCAATACACATATATATATTTACACAAGACTAACGGACTCTACTACTACCACCATTGTTGATTAGAACTAATTGACTCACCAAAAAAAAAAATTATAAGTGAACAAAATTTCAACTTTTTTTCATCACGAAACTCTCCAGTAAATAAGAAAAAAACAAGCTATTCACATTCAATCAATTGAATAGAATTGAATTTCACCGCTCAAATTAATCTCATCAAAAAAAAAGATTTAATCGGATTAGAACTCAAAATTCAGACTGAAGAAAAAAAAATTAATAGAGATTATCAGATTTTTTTTTCCCGATGAATATGTCTATTACCGAAGGCAATAGATTTTTTAAAAAAAACCCTAATAATCATTGTTGAATTTTTTTTTCAATTCACTTCAACAAACTAAACAAAGAATTCTATCCTCATAATAATAATATTAATAATAAGTATTTTATGGAGAAAATTAATTTCTCTGTTGTTGAAGTAAAACTGAAATACTTGTAACATGCACACACACAAACAAACCAATGATCTCTGTTTAATCAAAAGATAAATAATTGATTTCATGTGATAAATAAATTCTCGACAAACTACTATGTCTGTCTACTGATAAGTTTGTTTTTTTTTTAAAAAAAAAAAAATTTGTTATTTTGAACACAAAATGTGTTCTCGCTTGTAGATTTTTACAGTATTGATAATTTAAAAAGGGAAAAATAAGGAAAGAGAGAGATGAGATGAGATGAGATGAGAATAAAAACAGTTGTGTAGAGGATGATTTTCTCTTTTGCAACAACAACAACACAACATGAATAATTAAAATTTGATACAAATTGTAAATGTTACACAATGGAATTGATGTATTCAAAAAAAAATTAAAATGTGAGTAGATTTGAAGATTGTTGATTTATTATAGGTTGTGATTGGTTGACTACTAATGAATATGAGAATTAGAAGCATAATAGCACGATGTAGTTGATTTTACATTGTGACCAAATAATCACTAGAGTATCAGTAATGTGGATTTTATTGTGTGGGCTCATTTTACTGTTTGTTGAAGTGAACTGTTATTAGATTTGGTTTTGTATTGTTAGTTAAAATTTGTATATCAATTGAGAGAAGTGATCTATTCTGGTGGTCTAATTATTAATTATTTACTGTAATAATCCAAATGACCAATCTACTAATTTCCAGTGTTTGTCAAGTCATAGTATCTATTATCAAATTCATTAATAAGGAAAATGGTTTTTCCATTTAATATGTATGATTAAAAGAAAAGAAAATTTTTACATTCGAAACAGATCATCTCGTATACTGCATAAATGTACAAATAACTAGAAAATATGAGTGACGTTTTTGCACTCTTATATTATTCATGCATTGTTGTGGTTCATTCACATCAACACATTTGACAAAGTGACTGATCCATTGAAATCTTAAACATCAATGAGATGATTGAAATAACTAATATGATTGAAATCATCAATCAATCATTGTTAGACCACCATTAGAAACCTGGAAGCACTGGACGGCCGTGGATGCACACTGCTGATGAGTCGCATACCACGACGAAACTGCCGTCCAGTGCTTCCAGGTTTCTAATGGTGGTCTAACAATGATTGATTGATGATTTCAAATGTGTAAAAACACAAACCTCCAAAACTCTGCCCGATAATATGATTGAATGAAACTTCACTCTATTGCACAAGACAGCTGTTATCTGGACTCAGTAGCTAAGTGGATAAGGCGATGGAGTGTGAAGTAGATAGTAATGGATTCGAATCCCGTAGTGCAGATCACCACTGAGATGTAGGTACATCCAGGTGACAAGTCCAGAATATAACGAAACCCGTGTACCACATTCCACTGCTAGTCACCATCTATCTATGCTAATCATGCTTGTGATTTAACGGGGCAATATCAACGCAGTGTACACAGGATGCACATATGCTAAAGTGATTAGTCACATATAGGAATATTCAATAACTACTAAAAGTAAAGGAGTGAAGTCCAATATATATATATATATATATATATATATCAATGAACGTCTTAAAAAATGAGTACAATTAAATACGGTTGTTTTAATGGACAGTCAAGGATGGATGGAAAACAAGTCTTCTTTTCTATTGAAGAAAAAGGGATTTAGCTTCCTGGAATACACCACAGCTATTCACTTTTCTTGATAATTAGAAAATCTTCTTTGAATCATTTTCATATTCCGAATGTCGATGTAGTGGCATTCAACAAGAGTATTCAGTCTTTTCGTCCATTTTACGTGTCTTTTTTTTGACACGAGACAAGATTTCACAAAAAGACTCATCAATACGGAAAGTACTGCAGTTGACACAACTCAATCTGTAGAAACAATTCTACCTAAAAGTAGATGGGATACTTTCCTTTATTCAAACTAAAGCGCATCGAACAGTGTTGACTGCTTTACAGAAAGTTGTCAATTTGTGTAATTTCAAGATACGTAGTAATTCTTCAGCAGTATCATGGCAGTAGATTAAAAATTCGTTACCATCCCATGATATTTTATGCACATTTTTATTTGTACACAGATAATTTCATTCTTAAGAGAATTATCAAATGGAAATATGTTTATCATATTATTTTATAGGTCATTAGTTGATATTTTGTAGTAGTGATCTTGGCAGCACTTCTAAACAGATTTACAGTTTAAAAAAAACTGTATTTTGCATTGCATGAATGTACACAATTAAAGTTAATTTGTCGATATAAATTCACCTGTTCTTAGAGTAGATGATAAAATTTACAAATTCTGTTACAAATTTCATTTCACTAAATAGTGAACGTATAGTAAGTGTAGTTAGTTGGGAACTGTATAGAAGCACTGCTCAATTTACTTGAACAAATCAAGTTTCACCTTAGAAATGATATTTATATGTTTTAATTATGTCAGTGTGTCATCTCAAACTTAATAAAACATATTCTTAATCATTCAGCCTTTTAATATTCACATGAACCAATAAACATCATCTATCTTGGTATCATACTAGTTGATATTTATTTATGCCGGAAAAAAAATACAACAACAATGAAATGTCAGCACACTTACAGAAGCTGTTTCAGCATCTTTAGCTACCATATGAGTATAATTAATATTGACTAAATCTAAACCACTGCATATTGTCACAATACGATCCCATGATTTGCCTGATTTTTCTTGAATTTGTAAAGCTAATTTTTCATCCTTTTGATAAGAAGAAGAAGAAGAAGAAATAAGCGAAAAATTCATAAACACAAAAAATAAACAAATTGGCATCATTTTTCCTATTTGCAATAAATAAAATCAGTTAACAACAACATCAAATTTCGTAAGCAGGTATGTCAGTTCAAGTTGCCATACCCATATTATGCTTATTTGAAAAACGTTATTCTCATGTGCAAGGACAACCGAGTGAGCAATGCTGTCGTTAGGAAATAAGTACTAGGTAGGGATAGCAAATCATTAGATGAAGTAGTGAATCTTCATCAGTTGAGGTGGTTGAGACATGTGTTACGTATGCCTAACCACCGACTGCCCCGACAAGCTATGTTTTGCGATGTAGGAGTAGGTTGGAAGAAAGCTAGGGGCAAACAAACCAAAATATGGCAGAAATCCATGAAGTAATTGACGAGTGGACTAAGTCATGTTGGTACATGTAGGCTATCTTGGTTGGGGTTTGCGAGACGAAAGTCACCAATGGTTAGAGACCTTGAACGACATAGCTCAAAACCATTTGCAGTGGTGCAGGTGCATCCACTCTTTGTGTTCTCTGAAATTCTAACCTTCTGAATTCTTCATAATCTCTATCTTTCTCGCTGAATCATACGCTAATCTTCACTATTACTAAATATACTTCTACTATCGCTACCACTCTTGGATTTGAACTGACAGTTGCGTCTCTGTGCTGATGCAGATATGGAAACCTGAACTGGTGTATGTACGTACGAAGTTCTGTGTTGTATCTGTCTGTCTGTCACAGGTGCAAACTCTGGAACTAAACAATTTCCACAACAGCAGTAAACTGGAATTATCTCATCATCACCCTCTAAAAAAAAACTTTCTGACATATATTTTCGAAAATTCTCTATTCAGTGTCATCGACTATGATTTGAACAGTTACACTCCTGGTTTCATATTGAACCATTCAATGTATGCATGATGACATTGTTGATTACAATGAATTTATTAGAGTCAATCCAAGTTCGATTATTCACTACTACCACATATTTCTGTAAGTGTAAGAGGGAGAAAAAACTGGAATTTTGTAAACAACAAATCTAATGATCCCATTGTAATCGATAGACAAAAGTCATATGATATTTATTTAAGACAACATCGTTTAATTAATGTCTATACATATATATATATATATATATATATATATATATATATATATACATTTATCGAATAAATTTTTCTTCGGACAACAAAAAGAAAACAGATTTGTTTTCCTAGAAATAACAACATTTGTACAATGATAGTATTTCATAGAAAAAATAATTTATTTTCAGTATAAATTTTTTCAACATAAAATAAGGTCATCAGAGTATTTTAATCGGTACAAATACGTCAAGGTACAGGATTAGAAAAGGTTAAATCAACTGTAATAATACTTTTTACACTTTTTTACACATATAAATAAAGAGACAAATGCACCAATTAGATCAATGAATCAAAAAATTTAAAAAACAATGCTTAAAACTATCATTACCCTGACAATAACTGGCTACAACATGTGTATATGCTTATATAGAGGTGTATTACTGTTACATGGGTCTCTTCAGATAGTATCATTTGTTATATTCCTAATAACATGTTCAATGTATTAGATAAAATAAATAGTAACAAAAACAAATTTGTATAGTTTGATGGGTAGTTTTGAATATAAACTACTGAATATCATATAATGTTTTCGTCATAGTTTCTCATCACTGCTCACTTAACTCCTCCTGAAACCCTTCTGGGATTAGGCATAGGGTTAGCGACCCTATCCCGTAGAAATTCAACTAGCTAAAAGGATGCTGGTCGGCGTACGATGTTCTATTAGGAGTAACAGGAGTAAGTAAGATCTAAGATGTAAACAGATCTTCAACTTTCAAGTATCTCAATTAAAATCTAACAATTAAATTGTTGAGTTCTACACAAAACGTTTATATTCCTTAAATCAGTTAACTTGTAATGTACCAAAATTCCCAATCAAGCCTCCCCAGTGTGCTCTTAAAATAAACCAGAGTAAGAAATTCTCACAGAAGAAGAATCAGTAAATATCTGTGAATTTCATTATCTAATTCTATCTAGTAATAGAGTAGGATGGAATAAGCTTCAACATAAAAAAATAAATTCTTAGCGAAAAAATATGCACTGATAATGAACTTGACATCAATAGTAATTAATTGCAACATGTAATTAGGCTAAATGATGCTAATTTGATATTTTCATCATATCTCATCATTTTTAAACCATAATTATGATTAAAAACCTTGGTAACGGCCTTTTGTCCGTTTTTTGAAGTATTTTCACCCTATTCTTCATGTTGGGGACGTTAGATCCCTAGAACTCATTTGGAAAAGGTCCTAATTTTGTAATTTATTGCTGAAATTTTGGATTTTTATGCTTTCGCGCGGAGATACGATTAGTCGACCTACAGCTTACATTTCCCACTCAGGAAATCCTTGACCGTCATTGGTTGGTGGATTATTTGAGTACGCTATTTTGTGGTTCTCCTAAGGGTGTTTCTATCATTATATAAATAAGCTTGATTTGTGGGCTTAGCAACCTCATATTTTCTGAGTGCTTGTAGAATACATTCTCTATGCCTTATCAAGACTTCATACTTGTGCTAGCAGGCCCTGGGAAAATCGGATTAGAATAGCCTATTATGTCATTGTATCGTTGACCTTGGCTTCGTTTACCAAGTAAGGTGAACTCGTAATAGCATTTTCAAGCATATCAATTCATAATTAATATTATTATTACTATTATTATTAATGTGAACAATTTTCTATTGTTCATATTGTTTTTTTGAAATTTCATTCACTTGACAATAGAAACTGCACTACAATTACAACAATCATTATATTGTTATAGTCATTTTGGTTACAAAACACACATTAACATCCTTATGTAAATATTGGTATGATAAAGGAAAATGATTGAAATACTACTACTACAACTACAACTAATCTCTTCATTGATTGTCATTTTATCTAACTATTATTACTTGTTTGTTTGTTTGTTTGTCTATTAGCTTTCATTTATTATGCAATAAAATTAAAATACAGACGGAAATTGTAAAATGATACATTACTCTCTCCAGACAGTCAGCTTGTATACGTTTATTTGTGTACACCTGTTAAATATAAATACGAAATGGATGGATGGATAGATAGAGAGATAGATGGATAGATAGATAGACAGAGAGAGAGAGAAAGAGGGATAGCTTTAATCGCTTACACCTGGAATTTGAATTAACCTTTTTCATTTTTTAAAGTAAAATAACTAAACATTTATTATTATTATTATTATTATTATTATTATTATTATTATCATTCCTATTAGAAGTACAAATGTAATAGTGAGACTGACATGAAAACTTAATTAATTATTTATTGTCACATAATTTATGATCAATGTTTAGACACGATTGTTAAATTATTAAAAAAAAATTCGAATAATAATAATAACAATTATTCACCTTCTTTTTTTCTGCTTAAAAACAAACAGACTAACAAAATTAAATACCGAATGATTAAAGATATTATTTTGAATAATAATTTTACGATATATATATATATATATATATATATATATATATATATAATGGTACATGAAACAATTTGCGAAAATCTAATTGTAATACATTCAAAATCAATTTACAATAGGCAGACATAAATAGTTTGTTGAATAAATAAATATTCATGAAAACAGAGTAAAATGTAACATGTATGTTAAAATGTTCTCTATCCAATCAATGTTGTATTTTCAAGTAGCTAATTAAGTTAAACATAATTATAGTTTAGATAAAACATTAGTTGATGTCAAAGTGTTTTAGATTATTTGTGAAATATAAGGATTTGAATTTGAAAATTGCATCTCTGTTACGGTTTACAGTATAGTGTAGAATATATATGTTGGGGACACTAGTTTCCCAGAACTCATTGGATTTTATATTTTAGCGCATGGGCTAATCAGTTGACCTTGAGATCACATTTCCAAGCAGGAAATTCATGGACTGTTATTGGTTGATGGATCATTTTAGTAAGCTAATTTGTGGCTCTCTCAAGGACGTTCTTATGATGTATAAATAAACTCGATTCGTGTGCTTGCAGAATACACCTTCTACGCCACATCAAGACTTATTCATCTACTTAGTGGGGGCTTGAGACGCTCGGATTAGAGTAGCCTATCGTGTCACTGGATCATTTGTCTTCGCTCTCGTTTATTGACTAAAGTGAACTCGTAATAGTTCAAGCATATCAACTGTTGACGAGAATAACAGTAAACCAGTTGAATTTTCTGTTTTTTATTTAATTAAGATACAGGACAAGTATTCGTATGAAACAAATCAGTCAGTTATTACACAATGCAGAATATCTTTCATACGTATATCATTTCAAGTTGGCATACCACATTCACATAGGGATGCAATTGCTTTTTGTTTGTTTTTGTTTATGAAATAAATAAAAATACAGACACAACATAAAAATGAACTCCGTTGAAGACAATGGACTAGATTTACATTACCGTGACATAATAGAGAAAATTGAAAAGTGGCAAAAGCTATTATACAGATAGCAAGTAAACTGGTGTCAGAGAAGGATTGTATGAAATTAACAGGAAGCAGATTAAAAAAAATTTCAAAGATTCCTGCAATGTACTTTCCAGGTTTATATTATTGACTAATACCAATTGACTTCCAATGAAAGGATCAATATCAAAACTTTGCATACATGTTGTCAGAAAACCTATGTCTGGCTGTTAATAAAAATATAATTTTATAAATTACATAACAAGCTGATATTAGTAAAACATCTGAGAAGTCCCATATTATGTTTCCTTAAAAAAAACATCATTCCCTGATAGAAACTCTAGAAAGAAATAATTTCCACAACCCCTTTACAGCGGTAAAGTGGAATTATTTCATTACCCTCTAAAAAAACATAAATTTTCGAAAATCGTCGAGTATTATTTGAACGGTTACATTT